GGGGGGGGGGGGAGACCGGGAAACGGCGTGGTCATGTGACCCACTTGATTGGCCAAGAGCCCCAGGGGCGGGGAGTAGTTTGGCGACGTTCATTGGCTAGAGCTGGATTGGGCTGGCGCGAGGCCACGCCCTCTGGCAGCGTGGGTTTGGTTGCGCGGCCGGCGGGGAAGGAGACGCTGCCCTTCCGCGCGGAGCGATGGGCTCGCGGGTGAGCAAGTGGCGGTAGGGGTGAGCCCGCCGGACAGCGTGGCGGGGCCCGCGAGACAGCGTGGCGGGGCCCGCGACTGAGGCCCGGGCGGGCGGGGGCCGGGCCTGTGCAGAGGACGAGGTGGGCACAGGTGTCTGGGCCGAGGCGGCCGGGGAAAATGCCCCAGCTAGAAGCAGCGGGCACCCGGCCGGGCAGCGCGGCGGGGCACGGGCGACCTCAAGGGCTCCCGGGGGTCGGGGCCAGAGAGGACGGGCTGAGCCGGGCCGCGCACGGAGCCTGGGGTGGAAGAACAAGTCCTGGCAGTCGGGACCGTGCTGAGGACCGAGGGGCTCGGGACGCGGCGCAGGGCTGGCCGCGGAGTCCACGGGGAATCGCAGGTGGCGGGGCTGCGGGGCCGAGGCGGCGCCCAGGCAGGGAGCGTTCAGAGAGGAGGCGGCCGGAGGAGGTGCCCGCCCAAGCCTGGAGCTCGGGAGGCAACTGTCCAGGTGGCCAGGCTTTTCTGGGCATCAAAAGTGTCTCCCGGCGGGGGGATCGCAGTGGGCTTTTCATGCGGGAAAGAGGTTTGCACCTTGGAGCCTCCCCGCTTCGGGCGTGGGTTGCGCCCGGGGGACGGACCCCTTCCCTCCTTGCAGTGAAGTGGGGCTGGAAGACCAGCGCGGTTTCCTTCTCTAGAAGAGGGTACCTGGCTTCAGTCCCGTCAGCACCTGCCTGGTTCTTGGATTCCTGGGATATACGACTGTGCCGACTTCTGCAGGCCTTCACGTGTGGTACAGATAAGGGATGGCAGTTGTAGAAAGCACTGGCTAGGAAGCACCCCTGCAGCTGTGGGATCCCCAGCTCCCTAAGCTGGGGGCACCGGAGCAATCTTGGTGAGGTTGCTGTCCTCCAGAACCTCGGTCTCTCTGTCCTCGAGGGTTCTGTGAGTGACCGAACTCCAAGCCCTCAGCAGAGCGCCTGCTGCGGACCTGGCCTGGGAGAGAACAGCACTTGGCCCCCAAGGGTCTTATTGTACCCCCTCCCAGGCCCTTGGGCTGGGTGACGGTGGAGGGCCTTACAGTGGCCCGACACTGGAAATCACAGGGTCACAGCTCAATGCTCGAAGCCACCTGGCAGGGTGACAGTGTGTCAGGTTTTGTCCTAGAACATTAATTACCCTGCCTCACTCCCAGCCCAGCACGGGCTGATCGGCCTTCCCACACACTGGGATAAGCTGGCCCTATGTTTTGGCCGTCTTCCCAGAAGACAGGGTCTCCCTGGCCTGTGTGTTCCTTCCTCTTGAGGTCCTTGGCGACCTTGAAGGCATCCTTGGGCTGGGTGCTGGTGTTTCTCGGTACCCTGGGGGCTTCTCAGAAGGTCCTGGAAAAGCTGCCCTTGTCTCTGTGGTTCTGCTGGGTTTGCACTTCCTGCTGCATGTCAGATGTAGCCGGAAGGTTTGCATCGAGCAGTCTAGACTACGAGACCTTGATTCACCTGCTTCATCAGTATCATCAGTATCGGCCTTGCAGCCTTGGACTCCAGACTCAGCCTCCCTGAGATTCAGTTTCCTCACTGGAAGGTGGAGGGAGGTGGGGCGGGGCGGGGTGGGCCACACCTGTGTCCCCGAACTGTGATGCTTTGGTGAAAGGACTCTGTACAAATACACGAAGTGGCCCCCACAGTGGCTGCCCTCTAGGGCCAGAGCCGCTGTTCTTCATGGTATGGTCCATAGGGAGTGAGCCGCACTTGGCTTCTTGGGAAGGGAGAAAGATGTCCTGATTTCCAGTCTGGGGCCTGCAATTTTGTTTAGCACCCGGCCTGTGAGTTTAAAGAGGCTAACAGTACCAGAATTCCCCGCTATGAAGGAGGTGTGCATAGCCCGGACCCTGGAGCCTCTCAGGCCAGTGCGCCTGGGCTGCTGTCTTCCTCTCTCAGGGATCAAGGTGGGGACAGGGTCTGTTGGCATCTGGGTGCCTGCCCGCTGACAGTGTCCAGATGCTGCCCTTACTGTGTCCTCGGGCTCCACAAGCACTCTGTGCATCTCTCTGTGGTTATTCGCTTTCGTATTGGTGTGTGTTCACATTTACATATGTTTTGGGGGATTGGTGTGCGTGCGTATCACAACTTGATCATTTTGGTTTTTTTTTTTTTTGGTACCGGGGATCGAATTCAGGTCCTTCCGCTTGCGAGGCAGATGGTGGAACCATTGAGCTAAATCCCCGGCCCTACAACTTGATCATTTTGACCCATGTGTGAATGTTCTCATGTCTGAATTGGTTCTGTCCCTCAGCCCTGTGGAGGGACCCTCTGGTATGCGTGTCCCTGTCCTGCTGAGGTGTGGATGGTGCCCAGGACCTGGCTAGCCACCAGCTGAAGACGTCCTACTTGGGAGCCCCTGGTCCCGCAGGCTCTGGCCCGGGTGCCCACCCTGCCATGGCGTTCCGGCGGACCGAGGGCATGTCCATGATCCAGGCGCTGGCCATGACTGTGGCCGAGATCCCCGTGTTCTTGTATACCACCTTCGGGCAGGTGAGGACCAGGGCGGGTTGAGGTCCTGCCCTTTCCCCTGCACAGTGTGAAGCCCTGAGCTGCTCAGCCTGGGGCCCCCCGCATTTGGGTGACCAGGGCCCTCCTCCCCTCATCTGTGCATCCCACACAACTGGTGTCTTCTTAGAGCAGAGGAAGAAGGCCCGGGTTAGGTCCAGTCTTCGCCCAAGGCTCTGTAAGTCCCAACCCCACTTATCTGTCTGGAGAAGGGATCAGTGTTATGTCCCTGACAGCCTCGGGGTTCGGGTCTGGCTGGGGCTCCACGCTTCCTCCAGCTCTGTCCTGGGTGACGCTTCCACCCCAGGGCTCCAGGGCAGCAGGTGAGGGGGTGTGTGGAGCGTCTGACCAAGCGGCCCAATGGAGTGAATGTCACTGTCTTCAAGCACTGGATTCTAGTTCTGCATCTCTGTCACCCTGAGCATGTGTGTTGGCCTCAGTTTCCCCATCTGAAAAGTGATGGGGCTCCAGCAGGTGCCAGGCCAAGGCCTGGTGCGGAGCCTGGCACACAGCCATGACCATGGGGCTCACGGCAACCAGGATGCCTCCTGGGCCTCAGACCGCACCCCTGGCCCGGCCCTCTTGACTCTGTCTGTGGTCCCTGCTGCAGAGAGGCGGGGCCCGGCCCGGCAGGTGGTGGCTGCCTGTCGCTCATCCCCCCCCCGCCCCCCCCCCCCCCCCCCCCCCCCCCCCCCCCGGCCACGACACAACCCAGCCCCTCTCTCTCCCCAGTCTGCATTCTCACAGCTTCGTCTGACGCCAGGCCTGCGCAAAGTCCTCTTTGCCACCGCCCTGGGGACCGTGGCCTTGGCCCTGGCTGCCCACCAGCTGAAGAGGCGCCGGCGGAGGAAGAAGCAGGTGGGGCCTGAGGTGGGCAGCGAGCAGCTGGGCACGGTGCCTCTGCCCTTCCTCATGGCCCGGAAGGTGCCCTCGGTGAAGAAAGGTAGTGTGCACCCCCATCTCGCACCCGGCTCCCCTCGCTGTGAGGCGGATGACTGGGGACCTCTTCCTCCAGCGTCGCAAGGGTCGTGTCAGTGGTGCAGGTTGTGCAGCTGCTCAGGTCTGAGGCCCCTTGCGGAGCATGTGGCACAGAGCAAGCTTGTTTCTTCTTTATTTCCAGTACAGGGGATGGAACCAGGGCCTTCACTCGGAGCTACATCCCCAGCCTGTTTTTTTGTTTTGGGGCCTTTTGGGGGTTTTTTTTTTGTTTTTTGGTACCAGGGATGGAACTCAGGACCTTGCGCTTCTGAGGCAGGCGGCAGAACCACTGAGCTAAATCCCTGGCCTTGGGTTTGGTTTTTGTTTTTTTTTTGAGGTAAGTTCTCGCTGAGTTGCCCAGGCTGGGCTTCAATTTGCAGTCCTCCTGACTCGGCCTCCTGGAGTGCTGAGATTACACGTGTGCACCATTCTCTGGCTCATTTCTGAGCTTTGACACACAGTCATACGATCAAGAGTCACTGTTGTGTGTCCCCAGTCTCCTCGTGTCCTTTCATCCTTACCCTGTTTCTCTGCCCCCATCCCTGGCAGTGCTAACCTGTCTTGTGGCTGGGGCTGTGGTTTTGGAAAACTTTCACTGCCCTCTTCATCTTGTGCCACCGCTGTTTCCCACGCTGAGTGTCGTATTGATCTCTTTCCAAGGCAGGGAGTTCTCCCAGGCACTCATCATCGTGGGAGAAACCTATTTTAAGCAGCAAGTCTCGGCTGGGTGTCGTGGTGCACACCTGTGATCCTAGCACTTGAGAAGCTGAGACAGGAGGATTGCCTTGAGTTCGAGGCCAGCCTGGACTACACAGCGAGACCCTGTCTCAAAAAACTAAAACCAGGGGGCTGGGGATTTAGCTCAGTGGTTCCACTGCCTGCCTCGAAAGCACAAGGAACAGAGTTCGATCCCTGGTACCAAAAACAAACAAACAAACAAAAAAACTAAAACCAGGGCCGGGGATGTAGCTCAGTGGTCCCGCTGCTTACCTCTCAAGCGCAAGGTCTGGTGTTCAATCTCCAGTGCAAAAAAAACCCAGCTAAAACAAAAACCTAAAACAAAATGGAAGCAAGTCCCCTGGGAAAATGATGAACTGTCATTGCAAAGGAAGCTTTATCTTCATAGTTGTAAAAAGAGGTCTTTAGACCCTGAGATGTGTTTCTGAAGGTGGCCTCGTCTACCTCACAGTAGCCCCGGGCAGCCTGGAGCCCTGGGCACCCTGCCTCTCACCTGCCTGCACTGTGCCACTGTGCTGTCTCCTGTTTCACCTTCACCTCTTCTGTTTCCTGCTCTCCTTTACCCAGGACCTTGTGATGCCAAGCCCAGCTCTCCCCAACCCCCGCCCCAGTCCCCACTTTTCTCACTTAAAAAAAATCTTCCTGGGCTTTTTTTTTTTTTTTTTTTTGGTACCGGGGATTGAACTTGGGTCCTTGCGTTTGCAAGGCAGGCAGCGGAACCACTGAGCTAAATCCCCGGCCCTAATAGGTTCTTTTATTTTTTTATTTTTTTTGGTACCAGGGATCGAACTCAGGTCCCTGCGCTTGCGCAGCAGGCGGTGAAGCCACTGAGCTAAATCCCTGGCCCTTCCTGGGCTTTTGAGACAGGATCTCACTATGCAGTCCAGGCTGGCCTCGAACTCAAGGCAATCCTCCTGCCTCAGCCTCCCAAGTGCTGGGATCACAGGTGTATGCCCAGCTGCCAGGGCTTTTACTTTTTATTTTGAGACAGGCTCACTCAAAGTTTCTAAATTGCTTAGGCTGGGTTCAAACTTTTTTTTTTTTGGTACTGGAATCAAACTCAGGACTTTGTGCTTGCACAGCAGGCAGCAAAACCACTGAGCTAAACCCCCGGCACTAAGGAAGTTGGAATCTTTTTTGTTTTTGTTTTTGGTACAGGGAGATCGAACTCAGGACCTTGCCCTTGTGGGGCAGGCGGCAGAACCATTGAGCTAAATCCCCGGCCCTGTGCTTAAATTTATAATCCTCCGGCCTCAGCTTCCCAATTATATATTTTAAAAAGTCGTCTCGATCCCTTTTGGAAAGAGGAGCAACCTCAGTTAGTCAGCAACACAGGAAAACTGATGAGGCAGGGAGGCGGCTGGGCTGATTTTCAGCTCTTCCCAGCAGATGTGGGCCTGGCCCTGTGCCGGGTGACAGCCATGTGGCAGGCAGCAGGATGGCAGGAGGGGCCCTGTGTTCCTCTGCCTGTGCGTGGACTCGGTGCCCTGTGACCCGACTTAGGAGGGCAGTGAGCTTCCAGAGGAGCAGGATGGCTGGGTCCCAGTGGGGGCAGCAACGTGACCACCTCCTCCCCACAGGCTACTCCAGCCGGAGGGTGCAGAGCCCCAGCAGCAAGAGCAATGACACCCTCAGCGGCATCTCCTCCATTGAACCCAGCAAGCACTCGGGTTCCTCTCACAGCCTGACCTCGGTGAGCAGCTGGGAGCCCTGCCAGCGGACAGGGGCTGGGGCTGCTGGGGACCTGGAGACAAACAGGGCAGAGAGGCCCTTTTCTCCTGGCGAGGCCGGGATCTTTTGCTCCACTAGCAGGCGCCACACGTGGCCCTAGGCTGGCACCACACGGGGTCATGGGGTGAGCGGCAGAGGGGTCTGTCCTCTTGCCAGGGATGGTGGCTGGGTGCATGGTGACAGGCGCTCTCTGTCATCCCAGTCTGACCAGCGGAGCAGGGCTGCCAATGCCAGGCCTGGGGTGGTGTCACCGGTGACTGCCACCCTGGGGACGGCCCGGCTCCCTGTACCCTCCCACTGGGGAGGCGCCTGAGTCTGGATCCAGGCTGCTGGGAGCGCGGGGCCCCGGGGGAGGCTGTGTGGTGCTGGTGCGTGGCTGGGCTGCGGGGTGGGCCCAGAGGGCTTCCGCAGAGCGGCGGCGACGCCTCGCTCGTTGCCCTTGTCCTGGCCCCCAGATGATGGCGGTGAACTCATCCAGCCCCACGGCCGCGTGCTCCGGACAGTGGGAAGCCCGTGGGATGGAGGAGTCCGTGCCCGCCACCGAAGGGAGTGCCGAGAGCCTCTATGTGCAAGGTGCGGTGGGCGCTGCCCTGCCCTGCCCTGCCCTGCCCTCCCCTGGCCTGGCCCGCCCCAAGCCCGTCCAGGACACATCTGCTCCGAATGGAGCCCCTGAAGCAGACCAAGCCGGTCCCCGGCGGCCTCCTGCCCACTCTGCGCTTCTGCTCCTGTGCCCAGGCATGGAGCTGTTTGAGGAGGCGCTGCAGAAGTGGGAGCAGGCACTGAGCGTGGGCCAGCGTGGAGACAGTGGCGGCACCCCTGCACCTGGGGACCCCCTGCGGCACGTGGAGCCGGCCTCCGAGGCGCCGTCAGAGGTGGGCGCTTCACCAGAGTCTGCTGTCTCCCAGCCCTGTGGGGGGTTAGCAGAGCAGAAGAGAGGCAGGCTCATTGCCCACCTTCGGGTATTTGCCTTTTCTGGTTTTTTGAGATAGGGTGGTCTCAAATGTAGTCCAGGCTGGCCCTGAACCTGAGGCGATCTTCCTGCCTCAGCCTCCTGAATGCTGGGACTACACATGTGCGCCACCATGCCCAATTCTGCCTTCTGTTAGCCGCCCGGCCGCTCCTTCCTGACCCACAGTATCCCATCCACGTGGGCAGCACTCAGCTTAGATGAAGTTTCTCCATGTAGAGCAGAGTAGCTTTGTATTGCTCAGACGTGGACCCGTGAGGACAGTCAGACCCGTATCCAGCGCTGGGAAGGAAAAGTGGGCATTGGCAGAAGCCTGGGAGGAAACGGGCCTCTATGCGCGGTGATTGCATCACAAGGCTTTTGTTTTTTCTTTTCTTTTTCCAAGTTTCCTATAATGAGCATTTATTATTTCAGTATCAAGAAACAAAAATAAACATAAGGCCAAAATTAAACTTTTTTTTTGAGACAGGGTCTCACCGAATAGCCCAGGCTGGCCTTGAACTCAGTGATCCTCCTGCCTCAGCCTCTCGAGTGCTGGGATTACAGGTGTGCACCACCACGTGCGGCTTCTCTTTAATTTTTATAATTTTGAGCACATGCTTATGGCAGGGCCTCATGTAGGTAGTAATACTATGGGTTGCTTTGGTTTTATCCTTCATGCCCTTTCTGTCCTGGCAAAAATAAAAAGCAAACCCAGGGCCGGGGACTTAGCTCAGTGGTTCTGCCACCTGCCTCACAACCGCAAGGTCCCGAGTACCAGAAAGAAAAAGCAAACCCAGAGCGCCCAGGAGCATGGTCAGAAGAGACCCCTGCTGGGGAGCAGCATGGCGACATGGGGCTCAGCTGGGCCCAGCCTGGAAATGAAACAGCACCAGAAGGGAGTTGGAGCCAGCTGGGGTGGAGGCGGGCAGGGCACCAGCAGGGTAGGCAGGAGGCCACCTGCAGTGTGCCCTGCCAGGCAGGGCTGGGGTGAGCGGGGACTTCCCGTGCTGCCTGTTGGGAAGGGGAGGGTTTCACAAGTTAGTGCTAAGACTACACCCTGAGATGGTGGAACGCCATTATCCCCATCCTGTGAAAGCAATTCGATATTCATCATAGAGCAGTGAAAACCGCAGATGCCGCAGGTCGGCGCATGCATCCAGACTCGGAGGTTGCTTTGTGGGGTGAAAGCCCTCAGCCTCCAGCAGCACGCACTCTGGACAGGACACAGGACCACTGCTCGCCCCTGGCCCCTTGTGGGTGTGAGACCTGTGGCCTCTATGGCCAGTAAAATCTGTGCCTCATCCCTTTGTGAGGAACCCCTTTTTTTGAGACAGAGTCTGGCTATGTTGGTCAGACTCACGGAGATCCTCCTGCCTCACCCTCTTAGAGCAATCTTTTGTGTTCTCCTTGGCAGTTTTGAATGAAACACAATGAAAATGTTTTGTGCTCGAAAGTATGTAATCAAGGGCTCTGGGGCAGAACACTTGCCTAGCAGGTGGGAGGCCCTGGGAGATACCGCTCAGTGCACAGGCCCTTGGTTCAAACCCCAGTACCATCAAAAAAAAAAAAAAAAAAGACAAATGGTCGAAATTAATTGTGATACTATACCTCTGTCCCCGGTCTGACCATCTCACTGTGGGATCCACAGGAAAGCCTGCTGAGATAGTTTCTGTCCCCTCGGTAGCAGTGGCAGTGGTGCTGCGTGTGCCGTGCTCCCGTAGCGTCTGGGTGGGGCCTGGCTGTGCGTCACCACTTGTGGCTGCTCGTGGCCAAGCCTCCCGGTGCTCCACTGGGTGCAGGTCATGGCCTGTGCTGTCCCTTCCTGTGTCACCCACAGCCAGAGTCACAGCGGAGGGAGTTTGCAGAGAAGCTGGAGGTACTGCTGCACCGCGCCTACCACCTGCAGGAGGAGTTCGGCTCCACCTTTCCCGCAGACAGCGTGCTGCTCGACCTGGGTGAGCCACAGTGCTAGGGGGTCAATGGCCTTGGGCCCTGTGCCGCCTGGTGTCTGGTGGTACGGATCGGGAAACTGAGGCATGGGCTTGGTGAGCAGGAGCAGGCCTGGCTCTCAGTGTAGACGGCGTGGCTTGTGTGGCAGTGGCCCAGAGCAGGCCTGGGGACCACAGAAAGCCCTTTAGGTGCCCCTCGGAGGCAGAGGGACAGCACATCCCAGGGAGGACGGCCCCACAGCGGCAACCTGGTGCACTAGACCCCTGCTGGACTGCAGCGGGGATGTGGGGTCCCAGAGGCTGTGCACTCACGTGGCCTCCGTGGCGTGGCCTGCCGAGGGTCCTGCGCCTGGGCTTCCTGTGTGACTAGGGGCTGAGGCCTCTGCTGAGCCACCCACCGGCCTTTCCTACGCGGCCCAGGCAGGGAGAGGAGTACAGGGCTCGCGGCCTGTGGGCTCCCAAGGCTGACTTTAGCCGACATGGAGGGCGGTGGCGTGGCCCAGGCACAACCTCAGCACCAGCGCCCACGCCCAGTGCGCCGAGGACCGAGCGGGGGACTTGTGGCCGGGAGGGAGCCCCGAGTCCATGCAGAGCCTGCTGCCTGGGCTGGGGCCGAGCTGGTCTCAGCCCCCGTGTCCCGCTCTTGCAGAGAGGACGCTCATGCTGCCCCTGACCGAGGGCTCGCTACGTCTGCGGGCTGACGACGAGGACAGCCTGACCTCCGAGGACTCCTTTTTCTCCGCCACCGAGGTGACTCGGGTTGGGCGCTGGGCAGGGCAGTGGCTTGGGGCAGAGCTTGGCGGAAACCAAGCGCTGCTTCCTGGGGATGCGGTAACTTTGCTACGAGGGAAGCCTAGGAAGCCGGAGCTTGCAGCCCCGTGGTGATGGCGAGGTCCCGGCCCTGAGGCCTCAGCCCATGCTGTCCCTTCCCTTCTCTAGACCATCCGGCCTGTGCTTGGCTTTAGTCGCCTGCCGTGGCCACGTTGTCAGGTGGTGCCTTTGCCTGGGACAGGACAGAGCCCGTGTCCATTCAGTGGGAGAAGATGCTGGGGGCCAGCGCTGGACTTGACCCTCTGGGTCCCCATGAAACGGCATGGCAGACAGGGTCCCGGGCCACCTGTGGGTCCCTGCCCCAAGGGGGCCACTCACCTCCTGCCTTCCTGTGCACCCTGCCCAGCTCTTTGAGTCCCTGCAGGTGGGAGACTACCTGGTGCCCCTCTCCAGGCCCGCCGCAGCCTACGAGGAGGCCCTGCAGCTGGCCAAGGAGGGCAGGGTGCCCTGCCGGACCCTCAGGTGAGGCACGCAGGGCCAGGTGTTGGGCAGGGGCGGAGACCCGAGACAGGCAGGTCCCGTGGTCAGGATCACAGTGACAGGCGTGTAGCATCAGTCACATAATGGCTTCTGCCATCCCAGGCCTCAGAGGGCCCGGCCACAGCACCAGAGTGGCCGAGCTCCCAAGCCCTGCCCTGATGCAACCCTTTGTGGCGGGGGTCAGGAAGGAGGCCACGGGAGGACAGGCCGGGCTCTCCAGCTTCCGCCGCTGTGTCCTGCGGCCTTGACGGCCTTACCTGTGGTCCTCTGCAGCTGTCTCAGTGTCCTACGTGAACGTTTCCGAAGCAATGAAACAGCTTGGTTTTCTGATCGTGGCTTACAAGTTTAATGTGTTTAAAAACTCACTGATTGCCTGGCATGCTAGGGCATGCCTATAATGTCAGTGGTTTGGGAGGCTGAACCAGGAGGATCTCAAGCTCAAGACCAAGCTGGATAACTTAGCAAGACCCCATCTCAAAACCAAAAATGCCCACTGATCAGAAATGATAGAAAGCTCTGGTTGAAGCCGTGAAGATTTGGATAAAGGGCAACTGGGCCATGGTGTGACGCTGTCCGCCTCCCCACCCTGCCCCAGGACTGAGCTGCTGGGCTGCTACAGTGACCAGGACTTCCTGGCCAAGCTACACTGCGTCCGGCAGGCCTTTGAGGTGGGTGTGGCCTCCTGGGGTGGGGCCAGGGGGAGGAACAGGCCGGCTGGCCAGCTGATTTGTGGCATCACCTGTCCCTTGTCGTCCCTCCCTCTCGTTGCGCCCCCCCAGGGCCTTCTGGAGGACCCAGGGAACCAGCTCTTCTTTGGGGAAGTCGGCCGGCAGATGGTGATGGGGCTGATGACGAAGGCTGAGAAGGTACCGGGCAGGAACTGGACTCAGCTTTTCCTCTCCATATCCTTGTTTCTCACATTTGTATTCAGTTCCGGGTTTTTGTTGTTTGAAAAAAATATTTAAAGTCAAGCAAAGGAGGTTTGTCTTTCTACTGTGGCCGTGGGGGGATGGGAAGAGGGCCCAGGTTTTGTTTTGTTTTGTTTTGTTTCATTTTGTGGTGCTGGGGCATCTATCCCTAGGCTACAGACCCAGGCAATAATTTTTTATTTTGAGACAGGGTCTTACCATTCACTATGTTGTCCAGCGTAGGCTGGAACTTGGAATCCTCCTGTCTCAGCCTCCCACCATGCTAGGATAACAGGCTTGTGGCACCACACCTTCCAGGTTGAGGTTTATTTCCCTGTGCCAGTTTTGAAAATCTGTGCTCTGCATTACTGTTTAATTTTAGATTCCACCATAGCACAGTTGTACAAACTTCACCAGTTGTAAAATATGGGCTGCAGAAGGTTGCCCGTTGGTACCGGCTGCAGGAACCCACCTGGCATGCATGCCTCCTGCTGCCCAGGGGGCACCATGAGCCCTGGACACTGCATCCCGTTTCCCACCCTGTGCCCTCCCGCTGGCCTGCATCCTGGCCCCTTGGGCAGAAGAGTAGGCAGTCCCCTTCCCAGCATGGCGGGGATGCTGTCGCTGGTTGCATCGTGCACCATTGTGTGGGTCTGGGTCCCTCATGGGATCTTCGGGTGGCATCTGCTTTTCACACACCAGGGGGCACTGCTCAGTCATCCCCCTGCAGTGTCTCGGGCCACGATGGACATGTCGCAGGCCGGCAGGTCTTGCCACTTTGCCCTCGGACAGGCCTTGACCCTGCCCTACCTGCACGAGAGAGGGTTTCCCCGTGTCTTGCCCCATGACGATAATAGTAATCTTTAAATCTTTATTATTTTATCTGTTTCCTTCTGCTTGTTGGTTACGGCTGAGGCTGTATAGTTTTTCATGTTTATCAGCCACTTGTGTTTTAATGGATTGGAGCAGAGCTTTTTTTGTTTGCTTATTTTGAGATAGTGTCTCACTATGTAGCCTAGGCTGGCCTCAAACTGGCAGTGATCCTTCTGCCTCAGCCTCCTGAGTTCTGGGATCACAGGCATGCGCCACCACGCCCTGCTCAGGAGCAGAGCTTTCAAACAGGCCTCTCCTAAAGCCTGCCCCCTGCATGCTGGAGATGATTATGAAGCTCTTATCTGCCCTCATCCTCTGCCTGCCTGAGACCCTCCTGGTTCTGCTGCCCAGTGAGCAACCTGAGCTCTGTCCCTCACTGCCTCTGGGGCCGCTGTGCCGGCCCCAGACAGGAGGACGGGGCTTCCGGGCACCAGAGCCCTGCCTGGTGTCCCTCCGTGTGCTATTCCTCTATGCTGGCACACTCTTCACTTCTCCCCCATGCGACATCAGGTTCTGTCCTCAGTAACAAAAAATCCCCAAAACCCAAAACTGCCACGGGAGCCTTACAGCTGTCAGTGTCAATAATCATGTTGTGGGCTAGGGATTTAGCTCAGTGGTTCGAGCGCCTGCCTTGCAAGTGCAACGTCCCAAGTTCGATCCCCGGTACCAAAAAAAAAAAATCATGTCATCTGTGATCTGTCGTTTACAGAGAAGGAAACTGAGGCTCAGAGACAGGAAGTGATGGCACGGGGCCGCCCCAGCATTCTAGACAAGCCCTGTACCACTGAGCTACGTCTCCAGCTCTTTCTATTATACTCTGAAAAAGGATCTTGCCAAGTTGCCAAGGCTGGCCTTGAATGCCATCCCCCTGCCTCAGCCTCCTGAGTAGTTGGGACTCCAGGCCTGCACCACCATACCTGGCCACACTGTGTTCTTATGTCATCAGCCTGTCCCTGCTCCCTGTTCGGACACAGCCTCATCCTGCTTGGTTCTTGGGCACGTCGCTAATCTCCCAAAGCCTTGGGTCCCGGGAATTTAGCTCAGTGGTTCCGGCGCCGGCCTTGCAAGCGCAAGGTCCCGAGTTTGATCCCCTGCACGAAAAAAAGAAAAAAAAAAAAAAAAGTGAACCAAAGCCTTGGGGTTTCTGTCTGTGAGGTGGGCCTAAGTCCCTGATGGGACGCAAGGAGCTAAATGAGCTCATTCCTGCTTAGAGCAGACCTCGTCATGTACTCTCTGTCCCTAAGTACAGATAGATCCACAGCAGCAAATTGTATTTGTTTGGTTTGGCTTATTTGTTTTGAGACAAAGTCTCACTATGTACTGCAGGCTGGCTTAGCCATAATAGTGAGCCTCCCGCCTTAGCCTCCCGAGCATTGGTCCTACAGGCATGCACCCCCATGCCTGCCAGCCGATTGTATTATGAGGCCCTGCAGTAGCCTCACTCATTGGGGATCAGAAGCTTTGGTGCCTGGGCCAAGTGCGTTATGGATTCTCGTCCATCAGCTTCCCTAGCGCTGCCTCAGGAGGGCAGGCTGTGGCTTCTCCCCTGTCGCCCCTGAGGCCCTGGCCATGGCGGTTTGGACACTCAGCTGCCTGCACATCAGCCCTGTCCCTGTGCAGCTAGGCCAAGCTGGAGGCTGTGGCACACTTGGGGAGGCGGCCCGCCCAGTCCCCAGTGAAGTGCACTGCAGGCGGCAGGACCCTGCCTACTCTTGTTTTCCCACTGGCTGCTGCTTCCAGCGAGGCCCCAGCCCTGCCCTGGCAGGTCCCCAGGCACCGCCAGCTTGGCCCTGTGGACTGTGCAGCTGGGCCTCGCAGCCTCTCCCCGACCCACTGCGCTTCTCCCCGCAGAGTGCCAAGGGCTTCCTGGAGAGCTATGAGGAGATGCTGAGCTACGCCCTACGGCCTGAGACCTGGGCCACCACGAGGCTGGAGCTGGAGGGCCGCGGGGTGAGTTGGTCCCTGCTGTGGTCTCCGGGTGGGGAGAGGGTTGCCTGCTGGGGTGTGTGGCTCCTGCCCACCCCGTGTCCTGGCCCCAGCTGCCCTCTGTGCTGGCCCTGCAGGTGGTATGCATGGGCTTCTTCGACATCGTGCTCGACTTCATCCTCATGGACGCTTTTGAGGACCTGGAGAACCCGCCATCCTCTGTGCTCGCCGTGCTGCGGAACCGCTGGCTGTCCGACAGCTTCAAGGAGACGGTAGGCTGCCGCCCTGTCCCCAGCAGGGCCGCAGTGCTCCCCAAGGTCTGGGGCTGCGCCCTAGGGCTCCTTCCAGGGCGACCCAGTGCTCCCCCAGGCCCATCAGACCCACAAAGCAGGCATTTCTTGCGGCCTGGGCTCACTTGGTCACTGCTGCTCCTTCTGAGCTGGCTCTGACCCCACTAGCTGCTGACATAGCCATTGAATTTGAACCAGGAAAATACAAGCTGAGGCTTGGTGGCGCATGCCTGTGATCTCAGCAGGCTGAGGCAGGCGACCTCTTGCTTGGGTGGGGCAGTCGGGGCTGGTGGTCCCAGCTGTTCTCATGGAGTGGGGTCCCCCTCTCTGCTTTAGGCCCTGGCCACTGCGTGCTGGTCAGTCCTGAAAGCCAAGAGGCGGCTCCTGATGGTGAGTGGGCCCGGGCCCTGGAGGGCTGGAGGGCGGGGCCCTTTGGCCTTTATCACCCCATAGTGTCGACTGTCCTTGTGTAAGTCCCCTCCGCCCCTCCCCGAAGCCAGGCCGTGGGGACCATCCAGGCACCCAGCAGAGGCGTAGGGACATCCTGGGCGGGAGGGCAGTGGCCACCTGTTGCCCCCTCTGCCTGTGGCTCTGCTGCCCATCAGGTGCCAGCTGCTGTGCCCCTCGCTGTACCCACCAGGCCCCATCACCCCTTTCTGCAGATGTGGAGAGCAGGCTGCCCGGGTCACCCCCCCTCCTGACCCAGCCCTGTCCCTGAGCCGCCCCCTGCCGCAGGTGCCCGACGGCTTCATCTCCCACTTCTACTCCGTATCGGAGCACGTTAGCCCTGTCCTGGCCTTCGGTTTCCTCGGCCCCAAGCCCCAGCTCGCAGAAGTCTGTGCTTTCTTCAAGGTACAAGGTGCCACGCTCCTCTCCCTGCCCGTCCCTGTCCCCACCCAGAAGCCAGGTGCTGGCAGCACTGGGGTCCTGAGGGAGCAGGTGGGGTCCTGGTGGTGGAGGGGGACTTCGTGGGCTCTGCAGGATGTCTTTGGGGACCCGGGCCCACTGCCGCCCTGTGTCCCCAGCACCAGATCGTGCAGTACCTGCGGGACATGTTCGACCTGGACAATGTGCGCTACACCTCGGTGCCCGCGCTGGCCGATGACATCCTGCAGCTGTCCCGGCGCCGCAGTGAGATCCTGCTGGGTTACCTGGGGGCGCCGCTGGCCAGCAGCATCGGCCTGAATGGGGCACTACCCCGAGGGAACGGGCCCCTGGCGGAGCTGCAGTAGCGGCAGGCGCAGGCTGGAGGGGATGCTGGCTGCCCAGGCCCCCGAGCACTGGTGACGGCAGAGAAGCTGCTGCTCCCTTTGGGTGGCACCCGAGGGCCCTGATGGCCAAGGGCAGGGGCCCCACCCCGTCATTGGCCTCCCAAGGCTCAGAGGGCAGCATTCCCAGAGAGGGTGGAGCCCAAGGCTGGGGCCCCCCGGTGGTTCTGGGGGCAGCAGGAGAGGAAGGTCGTGAGGAAGGAGGGCAAGGGACAGTCCAGACCGGAAGGGCCAGGCTGCTAGGAGAGAGGCACTGAGGACAGGTGGGCAGGGCTCAGTGGCGAAGGTCACAGTGTCCGAGCTAGAGCGCCTCGAAGCTGCAGCTGTGTCTGAGTCCAGGTGTCTGCCTGTCCCGCCCTGGCCGCCTCCCTGGAGATCCTGTGGCTAACTGCAGGTGGGGGACACCCGGGCCGGGACAGAGGTGCTCTGTCCCCCCACATTCCTGCCCCTGCCAAACAATGTCATTCCTCCTCTTCCCCAGTGCTGCCACCAAAGACAGGTTGTGGGGGCGCTGGGTCCCCCGCCCCTGCCCACCCCTCCTGTGATCCTGGACGTCCTGGGTGGCAGAGATGGGGCCGGGACCAGGCCCCTCAGCCCCTGTCACCTGTGCCACCATTGACAGCCCAGGATCGAGGGTCCCAGGGACCCCGGGGAGGCCCAGATGCTCGCAGCTGGACAGAGGCTCTCCGGGAGGGTGGGGCTAGGCCCCTGCAGCCAGGCCCTGCGCCTGTCCATGGCTGCAGGGATTCTGCTGGCCCTGCAGACCTGCGTCTCTGACAGTGTTTCTGCTGGAGCCGCAAGATTTATTTATTGCCTTAACACTTTACTTGGAGGTTCTGCCCCTTCCAGGTTTCAGGACCTGCAGGAGAAACTGGCTCCTTTTCCAGGCTGGGGCTGGCGCCCTGCGCCTGGGACTAGGGCCTCTCCTTGGGGCGGAACAGCTGGGAGGGGCTGCAGCAGGACAGGGGCAGAACCTGGTACCACCCTGCAGGCCCCTGGGCGGGGCTCCGGCTCCAGGCTCCTCCCCCTAGCTGCACCTCACATTCCGTTTGTTTGCACTTACCCGAGCTATGAACGTGGCCCGGCCCGCTTGGTTTGCCCCAGTCATCGGAAGTGGCATTTGTGTTCATCTTTGTTTACACGTCTTCGTGCTGCCGCGTTCATGGCTCCCACCTTCTGTACGCACAGCGCTGGCCTCGACCTGAGTCAAATAAAAGATTGAGCCCTGGCCTGCCGTGTGCTGCTGCTGGGCATGGGGGCCCACTCTTGGGTGGGAGGGAGTTTCCGGGGCGGGAGAAGCCTGGGGAAGGGGGTATCATCCCACTGAGGCCACTGGGCAGCCTGGTGGTGTCCACACGTCCCCAGGCAATGCAGTGGTCAGGGTCAGGCCATGCGTGGTGCCTCAAGCTTGTGATCCCAGCATTTGGGAGGCTGACAACAGGTTGATCTCAAGTTCAAGGCCAGCCTGAATCATAAAGCAAGATCCTGTCTCAAAAAAACACAAGTTTAGGCTGGGGATTTAGCTCAGTGGTTTCACCACCTGCCGCATAAGTGCAAGGACCTGAGTTTGATCCCCGGTACCAAAAAAACACCAAAACACAAGTTCGAGTGTTCAGAAAAGTTAAAAAAAACCCTTCCAAAATGGGTTAGGGATACATCTACCAGCCCAGTGGTAGAGTGGCAGCCTAGTCTGAGGACTTGGGTTTATCCCCAGCACTGCAAAAAGCAAAACCCCATAAAGAACACCCATAAAACCAACAGCTCTAGTCAGTAATGCACATTTTGTCATATTTACTTTATGTACAGATTTTCCAAAATACTTAAGAGTAATACTTCAGCCATGAACTTCAGCTCAGAACACTTAAATGAACAGAATCTAAAAAGGTATAGCCAGGGGCGGGGATTTACCTCAGTGGTTTCGCTGCCTCTGCGCAAGCACAAAGACCTGAGTTCGATCCCTGGTACCAAAACAAATAAAAAGGTATAGCCAAAGTTGCACCTGAACTATGGAGTCTCTTAACATCTTTGCTGGGATTGTTTTTTGTTTGTTTGTTTTCTGGTACCAGGAATCAAACTTGGGTCCTTGCATTTGCGCAGCAGGCGGTGAAACCACTGAGCTAAATCCTTGGCCTTTGCTGCGATTCTGAAGAGAAGAGCTTTTCCTAACCCATCCCCAGCTAAAAAGAATCCACACCAGCCGTGGTGGTGCACACCTGTGATCCCAGCTTTACACCCAGGGAAGGCTGAGGCAGGAGGGCTCTTTGGCTAGCCTGGGCAACACAGTGACACCCATCTCCAAAATAAAAAGCAGAGGGGCCAGGGATTTAGCTCTGTGGTTTCACCGCCTGCTGCCCAAGCGCAAGGACCTGAGTTCAATCCCTGGTACCAAAAGAAAAAAAATAAAAATAAAATAAAAAATAAAAAGCAGGACACATTCATGACTTTTCCCCATCAGCAGTGCTAGCTGAAGTCATCACTTCTGATGCCAGTAAATAAGTCAGATTTTTTTAATCATTTTTTGGTGCTGGGAATCAAACCCAGGGCTTCATGCATGTTAAGCACATGCTCTCATGCTCCTCCCCGTCAATTTGTTTTTTGGTTTTTTTTTAAACTCTTATTTTATTTTATTTTTTATTTTTTGGTACCAGGGATCAAACTCAGGTCCTTGCACTTGTGCAGCAGGTGGTGAAACCACTGAGCTAAATACCCGGCCCCCCCGTCAATTTGTTTTAAACAGTATAAAAGTATGATGTGTATACCATAAAATGTTACTTGCTTTAATAATTTAGAGTAAACGTAAAGGTGTGTATCAGCCACAACAATACAGTTTTATTTATTTTTAAGACAAGGTTCAGGCTGGCCTTGAATTCACCATGCCGCTCAGGCTGGCCTCGAACTCACAGCAGTCCTGCCTCAGCCTCCCGAATGCCTGGGTTACAGGTGTGCACCACCACATCCATGCACCATGCAGTTCTAGGACATTTCCATCACCTCAGGAAGACTCCTGAAACTCACTGCACTATGTCCCCAGCCACCGCCCACCTGCTTCTCTCCAGAATCATCTTTCCTGAACATTTTCTATGAATGAAATTATGCAACTGGGGGTCTTTGGCTTTGGTTTCTCCCTGTAGAATCATGTTTTTGAGGTTCGCCCCTCACTCGGCTGGTATTCTGTTCTCTTGTTGCGTGGTGTTCCAAAATTCCTCTTGCCCTCCTTTTTACCACCACTGTGGACTCGCGGATTTTAATTATTCAGTGTTTCGCACTCGGTGACGGTTGTTCTTTTGGAGTGCTCATAGTCACAGTTAGCCGGCAGGAGCCCCGTAGAGCTGGCACTGGGGCCCTGATGCCCACCCTTGGGTCTCGAGTGCCTCATCAGAGCCCAAGCTAACACAGGCCTGGCCGGCCCCTCGTTAAGCTGGTGATGACCGCGGCTTGAGACCGCTCGCCTTTCTCGCCAGCGTCCTCAGGACCCGGGAGTGACAGCCACTCCTAAATGCCATTCCTCGAGGCTGCACCTGGACTGCCCATGTCCCTGTCACCAAGGCCCACTCCTGGCCAGGCCAAGCCTGACCTGGGACACAGGCCCTCGAGAAGCTGCCAAGGGATCCACTAGGGCCCTGGGAGAAGAAGCCATCCGGAGACACAGGGTGGCACTGAGCCTGCCCCTGCCCACCAGGCTGACCCTGGTTCAGGTCCTGGTTCTGCTGCGCACCAGCCAGGTGCTCAGGGCAAACGGTCAGAGGGCCCGAGCCTCGCTGCCTCACCTGTATCCTGGGCCTGGGGACCAGGCTGCTGTGAAGGCCAAAGGATGGACGAAGGGAGAGCACCTTGCAGGAGGCTCAGCAGGACCTGGGGACGCCACTGTCCAATCCCAGCTCAGATGGGGAAGGCAGGGTCGCCTCCAGGTATCCACCCTGCACTTCCCAGCCTTGACCTGGCAGTGATCCTCCTGCCTCAGCCTCCCCAGTACTGAGACTACAGGCCTGCACCAGCACCAACTGTTTGTCTTACGAGGCAGCATCAAGCTGCATATTTTTTTTTGTGGTGCTGGGGATGGAATCTAGGGTCTCATGCATGCTAAGGCAAGTGCTGTACCACTGAGCCACCATCCTCAGCCCTACACTGTACACTTTTGACTTCTGGAACATTCTGTATGTAATATTTTATTTATTCATTTATTCATTTATTTTTGAGACAAGGTCTCACTATGTACCCCAGGCTAGCTTGGAACTTGCTGCGATCCTCCTGCTTCAGCCTCTCAAGTGCTAGCATTACAGGCATGCATCAACCACATTTGGCTTGAATGTAATATTTTAATTAAAAATCAAAACAAGCCACCCTCTGTCCTTGACAGCAACAGTGCCCTCAGACCTTTGGGTGGCCAGGCCCCTGTCCCCACCCCAACCCTTGCTCCCCTTTCTCTTTGCCTGCCCCAGGACACTTGCTCCTGCTCTTCCCTCTGCCTGGAAACCCCTGCCCTGGAGACTCCTGCTCATCTGCCCTTCCTCGTTCCTGTCGCTTCTTTGGGCCCACGCTGCTAAGGCAGGAAGATTTGGGCCTGATGAGGCTGTGAACCAGGGACTTTGCTCTGTGGACTGCAGTGGGAGGGTGGCAGCCCTGTCCCCAGAAACTATTCTGGGAAATTCACAGCCCCTTGGTCACACCTCCTGCTTCTCGGAGGCTAATAACAGCAATGCCTGAGGTAGTTGCAGGCAGGTGACGGGAGTAGGGCCAGTGACCCAGACAAGCCAGGCTGGGCCTGGAGGGGTAGAGGGAAGGGGCGCAGGCACAGCTGAGCAGGGTCTTGGGCCACCCTTGTCTCCCAGGCCCTGGTCCAGGCAGCTGGCAGATTTGCCACTTGGTCAGTGTGATTCTCCAATTCATTCTCACATGCAATCAGCTGTATCAGGAACCCTGAAACAGAGGAGAATGCAGAGGCCAGCTGGGCATGGTTGTCCACATCTGCAATCCCAGCACTCTGGGAGCCTGAGGCAGGAGGACCTCAAGTTCAAGGCCAGCCTGAGCAACCTAGTGATTAGTGGAACTCTGTCAAAATAAAAAATCCACTGGGCTGGGATGCAGCTCAGTCCAAGGGCCCTGGGTTCAATTCCAGTGCCACAAATATAGAGAAAGCAGAGGTCAAGAGAGCAATCCAGACCTAATGAATCAACCCAGGCCCTAGTGGGACCCAGGAATCTGCATTTCCCACATGACATATGATGAAGACAGTCCAGGGCGGTGAGGGCCAGCATAGCCAAGGGGGTGCCAAGGGGAGGCCCTCATTGGCCGTGGAACCCCGCAGACGTGGCTGGCACGGGGCGGAGGGGAGGTGCTTGCAGGCCAGGGAAACCCCACATGCAGCTGAGCTGTAACTTGGTCCCACTGTGGAGAAAGCAGGGTGAGGGGCAGGTGAGTAGGAGGCCAAGCTGTCGGCTCAGGGTGTCTGGGGAAACTGAGGGTACCGCTTTCCAGTTTAATGTGCCCCTAAGATGCCTCCTTACATGGCATAGATAAGGCTCAACCAGTACCTCTTTGTTAATGAAGAAAAGATGCCAAGTTGTCCTTAACCTCAATGAAGCCGTTCCCCACCCACCTTGGTCCTGGGGATTGGACCCAGGGCCTTCACACTGAGCTATGTCCCCAGCCCCCTTCATTTTTTTGAGACAGTGTCTCACTAAACTGCCTAGGCTGGGCTTGAATTCGAGATCATCCTGCCTCAGCCTCCCAGAGAGCTGGGATTACAGGTGTGTGACACCATTCCCGGTGAAGTTTCCGTTCTCTAAGGCGTTTAGGGGTCTCCTGTGCCCCGCCCCAGGAGTCTCCTGCCCAGCTCACACACTTTGAAGAGAAAGGGAAAAATAAGTTCACCCTGGATCTCTGGCTTCAGTTTACTCATAATGGAAAGAGTGTCGGTTCAGACCCGGTGGTGCTGAGGTTCCTTCTCTACTGTGGGCCGCACTATCACTGGCAGGCAGCTCCCGCCGACCGCGGGTGGGCTGCGGGTACTGAGGAACCCTTCACTGCTGGGCGCAGGTCCCAGCCAAACCAAAGCTCCCACCAAAGTTCAACACGCCCCCTAAACTAGCTCCTGATTGGTCCGCCCTGCCCACACTGTGAACCAGTTTCACTTTCTGATTGGCTGTCCTGCTTTCTGTTCTGTGCTGGAACCCTCCCTTTTACTGATTGGCTCGACAACTACCTGCACTAGCCATGGATTGGGTGCCGGAGGGGCGGTCTGGAAGGCTCTTAGGGGCCCCGCTCCCTGGTTGGCTTCCCGGGCCAGCCACACGGCCTGCACGCTGAATGGCTGCGCCGCTACCTGTCTCGAGCTCCGATTGGATGCGTGGCACCTCCTCTGCGTGATAGGTCAGGACCACCGCCCCCCTGGCTCCCCATTGGCTGCTCCGCGAAGCCCGGTCTCCGGGTAAGATGGCAGCGGACGGACAGTGCTCGCTCCCCGCTTCATGGCGGCCGGTGACCCTCACTCACGTCGAATATCCTGCAGGTAAAAGGCGGCGCCGGCTCCGAGGACGCCCTCCTGGGGCCAGTCCCTCGGCCCCAGGCGCCCTGGCCTGCACCGGCCGGCAGAGGAGGCGCCGAGGGACCCGGGTGGGAACTGTCAAATAGTGAGCCACGGAGGGGCTCGGCCGGCGCGCACCGCGCAGGCGCAGTGGGGCGGCGATGAGCTGGGCGAAATTGTGAGGCGCTCGCTCGCGTACTCCGCGGCTGCGCGGCCGGGCGCTCCCCGGAGTCCCGGGGTTCGGGTGGGCTGCAGTGGGGTAAGGGTCTGTGTGAGGCGGGAAAGAATCACATGCTCGGACCTTGGCCCTTCTTCCCTGGCTTCTCCGGAGCTGGAGAGGCCGCGCTCCGTCCCCGGGGTGCAGGGAGTGCCTCTTTCTTCAGACACTATTCCGGGCTGCCTGCTAGAGAAAGGGCTCCCTGTTGCAGGGAGTGTGCAACCCGAGGCCAGGCTTGTGAGTATTGGAGGTGCCACGCCCTGAGCAGCGCACTCGGAGAGCGCCTGGCGGGCGAGGAGGCAGGCAGCCCCCGGGATGGAGCTTCCCGTCAGACACACCTCCAGGAGCGCAGAGCTTTCCACTTGGGAAGCCTACTAGCGATCCGATCTGGCTGCAGGAGATCTAGGGGAGGGGCAGCCCCTGGGCCTTGGGGTCAGATGTACCTGGGCTCCAGTGGGGGCTGAGGCCTTGTGCAAATGCCTCCCCCCACCCCACCTCAATTACTTCATCTCTAAAGTGGCATTAAGCATGGTACCTCCCTTCTGCGTGAATCTGGTGACGGCAGGCATGAGAAGGGCTGGGCGCAGCGCAGTACACACAGTAAACACCCGTAAACACCTGCAGTCAGTGTTGCCTGTCTTTCTAGCACCTCCCTATGGGAGGGGTTCCAGCAGGGTGAGTCTGGGAGCCCCTCGCTGAGCCCCGATTGCCCAGGAAGGGCCTCTTTTGGTGCTACCATGGGCAGGGATGTGGGAACCCTCCCCTGCCTAGGGACCCAGGGCTGGATGCCAGAGAACTTTGACTCTGGGCGTTCTGGGCTACCCTGGGGGTGGGGTGGCCTTGCCAGGTGCTGGGCCCTACCTGCTTGCCCACCCACCATTCATTCATTCATTGAGCCGGTACCCACTGTGCACTTCCCAAGCCTGCATCCTGGGCCACCTCTGGTCTTTGATTAGTGAGCAGGCTTGCTAGGCCCCTGCACTGCTTGCTCTGGGGAAAATCTATGCTTTCTAGGAGGAGGGAAACTAAGGCCCAGACGGGGGGGGGGGGGACACTTGGCTAAGGCCTCAGCTCCTTCATGACTTCCTCTCCCCGGCTTCAGAGCAGCTTCTTGTGAAGCACACTCTGAAACAATCAAGAAGGAACCTGGCATGTGGGACCAACATATCTGCAGTGGGTAATAAGGGACCTGGCTGAGCCTGGCGACACCCGGCATGGTTGACTCCCCTGTAAATATCTGTGGGATCCCCTGCACTTCTTCCGATCCTCATTGCACTGAACTTGCTTCCTTCACCCGTCATTTATCACAGCTTTCGAGGACTGTTCTGGGCCCGAGGAATAGAATGGGACATAGAAGTCTTGGTTCCTACTCTTGGGGGCCTATAGGGAGGAGAGGAAGACAAGACACGGCCCAGTAGCTGTATCAACTAGCAAGTCCTGAGCCATGACCCCATTACACAGGCAGAGTTGCACCTCTCTCTCTTGCTGCCGCTCTGATAGGTAGTTCATGTTGAGGTCACCCTGGCAACATCCCAGGTGGGGCAAACAGTGTGTGCAAAGGTCCAGAAGTAGGACAGCATGAAGTGCATCCAGGGAACAAGTCCTGTCCCTAGATCTGGGGCAAAGGTGGCAGGAAGCAGGGCGAGACTCTGCTGAGCCTGGGGCGCCAGGCTGAGGAGAGTGGGCCCTAAGGGCAGTGGGAGCCATAGCGGGCTAGGGTAGGGCCTGGCGAGACCAGAGTCCTTGGCAGCAGCCACAGGAACGCCCTGGGGTTGAGGCAGCAGTGGGACAGACTGAGGAGGTTGCTGAAGGCTTGGTGACACCTGCCACCCTGTGTCCTCGTAGCCCAGAATCTCAGAGCTGGGAGGGGTGGGGAGGGGAGACAGAGGCCCTGATGAGGGAAGGGACTCAATCAGTGTCACCCACCAGAACTGAGGGGCACCAGCTCTTGAGCCTGCATTGCTGTCCTGTCAGCCACTTCAAAGCCAGCCCCTGCCGGGATGCTTCCGCTCGACATCTCGCTCAGCCCTCTGTGGGTGCCGTCCCTGCTGCTCATGGCAGCTGCTTCCTCCCGGGTCCTCCCAGCCTCCCCGAGTCCCAGCACGGAGGTGTCCAGGTGTCAGGGCCAGGCCGAGACCCCAGGGGTGAGGTTCAAGAGGGCAGCATGTGCCAGAACAGGAACTGAACTGTGACCCTGACCCCAGAGTGGCCACGTGGCTGCCTTGTCGTAGTAAACAGTGGGGGTGACCTTGGGACTCAGCCACGCCTGTGCGCTGGGGGGAAAGTGGCTCTCATCTCTTGGCCTTGGTGTCCCCATATGTCACAAAGCCCACAGGTCCTCACGCTCCTCAGTCAGGCTTGTCAGGAGGGTAAAGACCCGCTGTGCAGGAGATGGGATTTCTGGCCAGTGGAGAAGCTCCAGGAAACGGCTCATTGCATTGGGCGGCCACACTGACCCTTGGAGTCTTGGGGACCCAGGCTGTATGATGTCCCGAGAGTATCAGGCTTCCCTGGAGGCTCAGGACTGGACTGACACAGCCCCAGCATGGCACTGTGCCCCAGAGCCACCTCTCCCCTGCCCGCCAGGCTGCCCCCTACACAGGGCCCCTCCTCCCGTGACAGACCAAGCGGGGTTCAGGTTCCTGCTTGAGCGAGGGCATGGCTATAGAATCTGGACTAGAGTCTTGGAGCCTCAAGTCCCGTTTCTCTCTGGCTGTGGGCCTGGGCAGGTCACAGAACCCCTCTGGGGCTCCTTTCCTTCGTCTGCAGAGTGGGGACAGGAAGGCACCTGGGGCCCCTGTTTTGATGCCTGTGCCTGTCCCCATCCTGTTCCTCTTTCTCCCACAGGTGATCTCTCTGGCCACCTCCTTGCCTACCTGAGCCTCAGCCCTGTGTTTGTCATCGTCGGTTTTGTGACCCTCGTCATCTTCAAGCGGGAGCTGCACACGGTGAGTCTGTCCCTGCAGCGACCCCCACTGCTCCGCAACCCCGCCCGGGCCTGTCCCGAGGTGTGGAGCCCCTGTGGGGTAGGTTGCTTGCTGCCAGGCCTGGAGGCCCAGTCGGAGTCATGGTCACTGGGACTGGACAGGGCCAACAGGTCCGCGGAGACCCAGCTGAGCGTGTTGTCCCCCAACAGATCTCTTTCCTCGGGGGCCTGGCCTTGAATGAGGGGGTCAACTGGCTCATCAAACACGTCATCCAGGAGCCACGGCCCTGCGGAGGTAGGGCCTGGGCTGGGGTGAGGGGGTGGGGAGCCTGGGTTCCCGGCTGGGGCATCAGCCCTTGATGTCCGGTCTACTTTCTGCCCTAGGCCCCCACACAGCAGTGGGCACTAAGTACGGGATGCCCTCCAGCCATTCCCAGTTCATGTGGTTCTTCTCCGTCTATTCCTTCCTCTTCCTGTATTTAAGGTGAGCTTCTGGCCCAGGCTGGGCTCCGCTTCGAACTCACTGCCAACCCTCCAGATGCCCCTTGGGGTGGGGGAGCTGCAGGGGGTACAGAAGGCTCAGGAGCGTTTGGCTGGGGCTGGGGCTCTTTAGGGGACCTGGAGCCCAGCTGTAGGCTGAGCCCTGATGGGTCTGTCTTCCCAGAATGCACCAAACGAATAATGCCAGGTTTCTGGACCTGCTGTGGCGGCACGTGCTGTCCTTGGGACTCCTCACTGCAGCCTTTCTGGTCTCCTACAGCAGGTACAAGGGAGGGACCCTGCCTGCACCCCACCCACACAGGGCCCTGCTGAGATCTCGCTCCCTGTGGGACCTATTGTGACCCCTCCTAGGGCCCAGAGGGCTAGGCTGGGGGGTTCCAGCCTGTTCTAAAGGGATGGGACTCTTGTTACCCCTCCTGCCCGGTTTGCTGACCTTGTGATTCTGGGGCCCCGAGCGTGCATTGGACATGTATTCCTAGCTCCCCAGAGTTTATGAGCTGCTGGATAGGAGGGCGGTGGACCCTAGCCAAGCCACCCTCTAGAGACTGGGGTGCCGCTGGGGTGCAGTGCCTGCTGAAGGGAGCTGCCCGCTGTGTGGGTCTCCCCACACTCACACAGGTCCCTGGCGGCCAGCCTGGTGTGGGGCATTGTGCTGCCTGTCCCTGGGGCTCTCGTAAACTTCCCTTCTGGCCTTGACCCAGGGTCTACCTGTTGTACCACACCTGGAGCCAGGTGCTGTATGGGGGCATCGCTGGAAGCCTCATGGCCGTCGCCTGGTTCGTCTTCACCCAGGAGGTCCTCACCCCACTGTTCCCCAGGATAGCAGCTTGGTAACTGCCTCCGTCCCTCCCGTCCCCCGGCACTGTGGTCCTGTCCCCTCCTGTGGGCGGCCCAGGTGTCCGGACCTCAGCCCAGTCCCCCCAGGGAGCCAGTGCCCGGGCCCAGGTGGCAGGAGCTGCAGGCCACCCACCTGCTTCCTGCTCCCCAGGGACTTGCTGCAGGGATGGGAGGTGCCAGCCTGGGTCCTGGCCTAGGGACTAGAAGGCAGCCAGAGTCCTGCTGGGCTGGAAGCGCCCCGGGGCAGCGTCCCTGCCTGATGGTGAGGTGACAGAGATGGGTCTCTCAGGGCCTCTGGGGCCTCAGGCCCAGCAATGACACTGGAGGCAGCAGGGGAGGGGTCAGTGCCAGCCCCAGGAACTGGGGAGGCTCTGGCTTGGTGGCAGCTGCACCCGATACAGCGCTGGCTGTCCGAGCATCTGTCTGTCTCTGCAGGCCAATCTCCGAGTTCTTCCTGATCCGGGACACCAGCCTCATCCCCAATGTGCTCTGGTTTGAGTACACAGTGACCCGGGCAGAAGCCAGGTGAGTTAAGGGGACAGCAGTCCCCACTGCCCCTTACCTGCAGGGCTCCCCAAGAGCCAGGCCTTTGCCTGATTTTCTTGCATTGCCTCGTTAATTCTCCTGTGGTCCCCACTCTACAGATGAGGAAACCGAGGCTTAGAGAGAAAGGGAGTCACCACCTGAGGTCTCTCAGAGAGGGGGTGTCCCAGAGCCCTCACATGGAACCTGTCCAGCCCGGAACCCAGAGCGGGGCCCTGAGGTGCTCGGGGCGCCTGTGTGTGGCACCTATGGGCTGTCGGGCCAGTGGCTTGGGGTGGCAGGATAAGCCAAGGCACATTGAGCTGGGGGTCGGCTGCAGGCACACAGCAAGTCGGAGCAAGGCTGGGCTCTAGGGCATCCTAACTCACTGTCTTCCCTCAGAAGACTGGGGTGGACAGGGCCAGCGCCTTTGCGTTCAGAGGGCAGCTCGGCAGCTCGGGCTCCAGAGGACACCAGGAGGTTTTCCCAGGGGTGGGAGAGGGGCTGGGCTGGGCGGGCCGCCCCGCAGTGATACAGCCTTTAGTGCATCAGGATCCTAATGAGCCTAACGAGCTTAAGGTAAAGCCGGGATCCATGAGGACAGGGGATTTGAGGGTTAGGGCAGGGCAATCCCATTAGTGGCAGAAAGGCCCAGCTGGCCCTGCTGAGCTTGCCACCTGGCTGCCCCCAGAGGGGCTGGCTCTGCCTGGCCCTGCCTGGCCCTGCCCTGCCCAGCCCAGCCCAGCCCAGCCCAGTCCAGCCCAGCCCAGCCCACTGGCTTCATTCACTTGCGTCTGCACCCACCCTGCCCTGGCTGCTCAGGGTGCTGGGGTGCAGAGTGAGGGTGAGAGGGCCACGTCCCCTCAGTGTGATTCTCGATGGGCATGAGTGTGGCGGCTTGAGCTGGTGGGACCAATGTAGGGGTGGGGGTGCTGGTGGCTGCCAGCAGGGGCTCTCAGCAGAGGGAGCTGCAGGCGGGAAGCCTCTGAGGGAGGCAGAGCAGCTGGTGGGAGGGGGATGCGGCCACAGCATGGGGGTCCTTGTGAGTCACAGGGAAGCTTTGGGTTTTAACTGGAGCTCTAGACGAGTCCTGTTCTTCCTGCGTCTCAGCCAGCATCTTTGGGAAATAAAGGTGACTGCCCCGGGGCTCCTGGGCTACCCCACCATGGACACAGGCGTACCCCAAAGCGACTGCCTGGGTCCCTCTGTCCCATCAGTGCTGCCTCTGCGGGCACCGCTGCCTTGAGATTCTGTGTGGGGCCAGCAGCTGGGCCAGCTTGGGCACAGCCCCGAGCTCTGCTCTGCAGGTCCCAGTCCTGGGGGGAGCTCGGAGTGGCCCAGCTGGTGTGGCGGCCACCTGCTGGCCCAGCCCCGAGCCCCAGGCGTCCTCACACCTCGCCCTGGCCCATTGCAGGAACAGACAGCGCAAGCTGGGGACAAAGCTGCAGTGACCGGTGGGCGTGGCTGGGTCCAGCCTCTAGATCTGGCCTGCGTGACGCCTCAAAGGGCAGACGGCACGATGGACAGAGGGACGAAGCAGAGACATCTACAGACCCAAGTCACCAAGTGGAGCCTTTTTGTTTTCTTATTTTAATTTTAACGGAGAAGGTGGACCAAAGGGCTGAGCCAGCCCCTCGGCTGGGACCCTGGGAGGGCCTGCTGCCCAGGGCCATGTGGCCAGAGACCCTCGCTGTGTTGCTGCCAGTCCCCGGCAGGGTGGCGTGTGCCCTTGGCCCGGGCACCAGGGTGTGGCAGAGAGTGGGGGGCTTGTGCCTCTAGGCTGGGGGCTGGAGCCCCAGGTGGCGTGAGACGCGCACACTATTTATTTCTTGGTTTTGTCAGAGGCAGGTGGAGCTTGCTGCTCGGTGGCTCCCGTGCAGAGGGGCCTCCCCTGCCCACCCCAGAACCTCTCAGTGTTTCCCGGACGGGGCAGGGCTGGAGTGAGCACGAGACTGGCGCCTGCTGTCATTGTGTTCTTCCCTGCCCCCGCCCCACACCACAAGGGCTTTCTCTGGTCTCCCCAAGACAACTGTCCCTTTCTGACAGAAGAGCCTGCACATGTGGGTGTGCACACCCAGGCTGTTTACAGCTCTTTCTGTCCTGCCAGTAGCAGTCCTTGTCCTGCTCGAACAAACCAGGGGCCAGAACCAGTGAGCCCTGCCTTCCCTGTGTGTTGGGAACTGTCCTTGTGCCTCCTGACGGAGGACCTGCTCGAGGCCACCCTCGGGCCTGGGGCTGGGCTCAGGAGGGCGCTCAAGGGACCTGGAAGTCCCTGCAGATGGGCCCAGTTTCGGAGTGTCCAGAGCCGCGCTGGCCCTGCAGACCTGTGTCCGACAACCCCTTTTCTTTGTGGAGGTTTCTAACCTGCTGCTGAAGCACAATTTTTTGGTGCTTTCTTTTCTCATTCGATCAAGGCAGTGTCCAAAGCCATTCCAGACGCCAGGACCAGGGCTGATTCTAGGGAGGCAGGTCAGTGCCCGTGTTTTCCTCCCCTCCCCTTAGGATTTTTATTTTGTACTTTTTGCCTGAGATAAGCCAAGTGTGAGGTGGTTTGATTTCAGAAAAAACAAAAAATCAATGAAATTGTTTACTGTTGTTTTAAAATAAAATCTTAAACTGGCGGCTGGAGCACATGCTGACTGAGCCTGAGAGGCTTTGAGGACACATGACCCTTGGACAAGGGTGCGGACGAGACCATAAAATTATAATCCTCTCTCCACGGTATATGCTCCCAGCCTGATGTGGTGCTGCACACCTGTCATTCCCGAACTCTGGGAGGCTGGGGCAGGAAGATCACAAGTTCAAGCCCAGCTTGGGCAACCTTGTGAATTGGTGAGACCCTGTTTGAAAAAATAAAAAGGGCCGGGGATGTAGCTCAGTGTTAAAGCCCTAGGTTCAACCCTCAATATTCAAAGTCAAGGGACCCGGACCCCTGTGGCCCCCAGAGCAGGGGTTTGGTGAGCTCTGTGACATCTCCCACTTGGACCTGCCCGGTCTGGTTCCGGATTGTGGCCTCACTGGGGTCGACTGGTGTGGGGGGGCTCTGCTGGTCTCAGCAAGGCATTTTGAAACAGCTGCTGCAGAGGCGCTGAGTGGCCCTCGCTGGCTACCGTGGCCATGTCCCCAGAGGGTGGCCCAGTTGGAAGGACCTTGTCCTTGCCCACGTGCTCGGCTGGACTGGGTCCCCCAGAACCTTGACACTCAGTGAAGGCGACTCCTGACAGGTAGTGATCCCTGTTCTAGCAGAAGCAAACACTTCTGGAGGAAGGAGGCCCGTCCAGGGCTTAAGATTTGTGTCAAGTAGTTCTCAAATGGCAAAGAAGCAGGTGCGGTGCAGGCACAGCCCACTGGGGGGCTCCATGCCCTGCTCCCTGGGCTGGGCAAGTGGCTACCCGAACTAGGGTGCTGTGAGCCCCACCCCCACATGGCCAAGGAGACTGGGCCAGGCCTGCCAGGCCCGGGGCTGTCACCACTGCTGCAGCTTCCCCTGTCCCCGGACAGCTGGGCAATGTAGGGGGCAGCAGCTTAGCCATGTGGGCTCCTCGGACCCTGGCCTGGAGGAATCAAGGGTGTCCCCTTGGAATTTCTGCCCAGCCATTCAGTGTCCTGGTGACTTAACCTCTCTGAACCTCAGTTTCCTCATCTGAACAACAGGGAAGCTGGTGCATGGCCATGCCCATCCATAATCCCTGTACTCTGGGAGGCCGAGGCAGGAGAACTGTGAGTTCAAGCCCAGCCTGAGCAACTTAGATCCTGTCTCAAAATAAAAAGGGCTGGCAAAGGAGCTTAGCATGAAGACCCTAGGTTCAATCCCTAGTACTGCCAAAAACAAAACCACAAACCCAAGCAAACCACGGGACACACCCTCAGGTTAGCCTTCACCACTCCGCTGCAGGTCCTGCCCGGCACCTGCTCAGGGCTTTCCCATGTGCCCACTTCACTTTTTTTTTTTTTGAGACAGAATCTTGCTACATAGTTCAAGCAGGCATTGAACTATGTAGCCCATGCTGGCCTCAAACTCAAAGCAATCCTCCTGCCTCAGTCTCCTAGAGTGCTGGGATGACAGGCGTGTGTCACCCACACCCTGCTTTTTTTTAAAAAACAGTACTGGGGATTGAACCCAGGGTTCCATTGCTGAGCTACATCCCCAACAATGTTTTGTTTTGTTTTTTATGGTACTGGGGATCAAACTTGGGTCCTTGCGCTTGCGAGGCAAGCGGCAGTACCACTGAGCTAACCCCCGGCCCCCTAGCAGTGTTTTTGACAGGGTCTCCCTGAGTTGCTCACGCTGGCCTCCAGGGGGCTGGGATTGTAGGAGTGCATGCTGTGCCCAGCTCTGTGCCTGACTGTGGCAGCACATTCTGCCTCTGCAGGGTGCATGGGTTGGGACAGATCCAGTTCTGACTGGGTGGGTGTTTGGCCTGTGGCCAGGGTGGGACATGCCTGCTGCCGCTGCCACAACTACCTGGCCCAGTGGGCTCAGTGGGACCAGCTGTGGCCCCCTGTGTGCAACCTGAGGACTCCTTGGCATCTCTGGGAGCCGTTGGGCACTGGCTGGTTGGACAACAGCTCCCAGACCCTGGAGGGAAAGCTAGAGCCAAGCAAGGCCAGGCATCTGTCCCCAGGGTGCTGCTCTGCTGCAACTCGAGCTCACCAGCATATTTCTCCTTTATTACTCAGCCACATGGCACCTTCACACTGTACACCACCGGTGCGCGTCAGGATCAGGGAGAGGCCCGGGCTCCCGAGCCACATCATCCACGGCGGCCACATGAGGACAGCCCCTCGAGCGTCCCCTTGATCTGTCCCTTGCTTCGGGGAGGCCTAGAGCCCTCGGCCAAAGCTAAACCTGTCTCCGGGTCACTGGGAGATGGGAGATGGTACAGATCCTGGCTTGGCGTGGAGATGGGAAGCTGGGAAGAAAGGAGCTCTTTTTAGGTCCCTGCTTTGGCCAGTTCGGGGTTGGACTTGTTCCTGGCCAGGGAGGCCCAAGGATGACACGCCGGGGCCTGGGGCCTGTGTCTTCCGTCCTGTTCAGTCTCAAATCTACCCAGCACTTGGGCTCTGGCACTTCCTGGGGACAGTCATGGAAGGCACTTGGCTTGGGCCTGCAGACCTCACGAGAGGACATTGTCCCTGGCTTGGTCAGACCCAGGGCCAGGAGCTGTGGAAGCCAGGGGCAGAGCCCTGGCAGGTGCCCATCTCCACAGCCTTCACTGTGGCGCGGGCAGGCCTGGCCACAGGGACTCAGAGCTTGGCCCGGGGGTGGCGCTGCAGCAGTTCGCGCATGTCCAGCAGCGCCTTCTCCAGGTAGTGCGCCAGGCGGGCGGCATTGGTCTCAGCACAGCTGTTGTAGGCCGATATGGAGAAGCTGACGTGGGTCTCCATGGGGTTGTAGCAGACACCATAGCCGTCGGGGACCACAGGCCCGAAGAGCATGACACAGTCTGTCTTGGCGGGCACCTGGGCACAGCAGGGGCACACTCACCCCCTGCCTGCCCGAGCTGCCCCCACCTTCCCTGGCACACGGCTCTCCTTCTCATCCGTGGGTGTGTGACCCTGGGGGCCCTTCCTCTGTGAGGGCCCTGGCTTCTCCCTCCTCCCTTCTTGTCTGTCCCTGCCACCTCCCAGCACCCAGTGCAGGCTGGCACGGATCAGGCGATTGTAGCTGACCAGCGAATGACAAAGCCAATTCCCTCACAGGGCTGGGGGCGTCTGCTCACGTGCCGGAGTTGCCATGTGCCCCCTGCCCCCAGATCCTCCTGGGCACCACAGCTGCTCTGGTGTGGGCCCGTCCACACGGCCCCAAGCCCCAGCCACAGTGGGTTCTCTGTACGCGGGGCAGTGCCCACCTGGCTAGTGGAGAGGTTGAAGTGCATGGCGATGGCGTAGGAGGTGTCCATGAAGATGTCCGGCATGCTCACCAGGTCCTCAATGGCCTGCAGCTTGAGGCCCAGCAGGTGGCGGTCGAAGGCCTCCCCGTGGATGGCCTGTGGGGAAGAAGCTGTCAGGAACAGGTATGAGGCCACAGGCCGTCCCCTGCCCCCCTGGCCTGGACGCCCACTCACTCGGTCGGTGTAGGCTCGGTGTGCTTGCACGGCCTTCCGCAGCAGCTCCACCTTCTGGTGCTCCTGGGGAGTGTGGGTGAGAGGGACTGAGATGCTGTCCCTCCCTGCCCACTATCCGAGGCACTGTGTAGGAGCTGCCATCTCCTCGGCCCCCGGCCAGGGCCAACACAGGGCAGGCCCTCATTGCTGGTGGGTGAATGGCTGAATGGATGGATCCTTTCCTCTGGCTGTCAGGAAGCTCAGAACAAAGCCATGGCTCCATCTTGTCAGATTCCCATTGCGCACCACAGGGCTGGGATCCCACAGGTGCCCGGCCAGTGCACACTGGCAGAACAAAGGGGAAAGGGGATGGCTCAGCATGGTGCCTCCCTGGCCCAGGCTCTCACCAGCACGCTGGGGTCATCCATGGCCTTGGTGAAAGCCAGCGAGTCCACAGAGGCCGAGCGGATGGTGTCAGTGCGGCCCAGGTGGAACATGCGCAGGGAGGCACTCTCGTAGGTGGCACAGGCCTGGGTGTAGATCCTGGGCAGGAGGGGCAGGGGCGCTGAGCTCGAGGGAGGGGAGGTCCCCGCCCGCCTGCCCCCTCAGGCCAGGGCCGCACCTGTAGTAGGCCAGCTGCAGGGCCATCTGGAAGAAGCCGTCCGGGCTCAGCTGCTGGGACTTGGGGAAGCCCTTCCCGAAGTGGTGGAACACCAGCACCATGATGTCCAGGTCCTGGATCATGCTGGGCGGGACGGGGGAGGGAGGGTGAGAGCCGCCCAGCAGCCCCTGCCCCCGGGCCCCAAGGCACAATGACAGCCACCTACATGCTGAGGTTCTGCTTGGCCTTCTCAATGTCGCTCTTGATCTCGGGGGTGATGTTGAACCGCAGCTTCTTGGGCATGGGCAGGGGCACCATGGGCGAGCGCACGAGCTCCGGCTTCTTCCTGTGCAGAGTGGGGCGGAGTGCCAGGCTGGGGAGGGCTGGGCTGGGCCAGGCTCCCAGTGGGAGGCCGCAGGGTCAGGGTTCACTCTCCAACCACGGCCTCGGCCTGCTCCCCTTCCTGAGACTGCCGCCTAGGCCTAGGGGAGGAGTGAGGCCACCCCCAGGCCACCGTCCCAGGAGCTGGGGATAAGGGAGTCAGCACACTCACGTGTACTCCATGACGTGGTCCACCAGGGCGATGATGGGGGGCCCCTCGGCTGCCGCATGCTCATAGACGAGTCCACAGGAGCCGTCCTCGGCCACGATGAACTGCGGGGAGGGACAGGGGCCTGTCAGGCGAACTGGGGGCCTCAGGGGAAGGGCCTGTCTGAAGCCATCTCAGGGGTGACACTGACTTTCCACTGTTAGTGACAGCTGCCATCTGTCAGGCAGCCTGCCCTCCCTCGGCCCTTCCTGAACTCCATACCCCAGCAAGTCCTCAAGGACCCGCAATGTGGCGTTTTTCCAGTCACCCCATGTTCCGGGCACAGTGAGACGGTCAGGTCTGACCTCTGACCTTCTCTGATGTGCTCGGATAATGACAGGTAATTACGGCGCACCCTGCTTTACAAGCAGGAGGCTGGGACAGCAGCCTGGAGCAGCAGGGAGGAAGTCCTGCTTCGGAGGCGGAGGCGCAGCGATCAGGCCAGGCCTCACCTGCAGCGTCTTGTCGAACCAGCGGTTGCCACTGTTGAGCAAGCCGCCGCCCCCATGCAGCATCTGGCCAGCCACGTGGTTTCGGTAGACGTCTTCCGAGACCCTGGGCACTGGCTTGTCCAGGCACACAGTGAAGATGCTCTTCTGGATGGAGCGCACCGAGTCCCGGTTCACCTTGTCTGCGGGCAGCAGGGGTGGGATGAGACTCACCGGCTAGGGTGGGGGTTCCCAGTCTGGGCCCCCTAGGCATCCATTGCCTGCCTCCCACACCCCAGGCCTGCTGCAGACGCTGCGGCTTGGAAGCCCCGGGTGACGGGGGATCCAGCATGTGAGGCCTGTGGCCGCCAGCACAGCATGCAGCGCGGCTTCACTGACCCCCAGCCCAGCCCACACCTTTGATGAGAGTGTTGTAGGCCTTGGCCCAGGTGTTGCGGTGGTTGGAGGTCAGGATGCCCACCGGCTCCTTATTGGTTTGCAGGGACGAGTTCCAGATCTTCTCCAGCTGCACAAAGATCTGGTCTGAGGTGAAGGGCGTCCCGTCACTGTGGTACACGTCCAGCTCGAAGAACTGAGTGAGGCAAGGTGGGAGGGGAGGGGAGGTCACCGGGGCCAGTGCAGGTCGGATGTTGGGGAAGCAGCTGAGCAGGGCTCTAGGCCCAGGCGGTGCCGCCCACCTGGTAGTTGTGCACCACAGTGACATGCATGGGCGGTTTCTTGGCCTCTAGGAAGCTGACAACGGAGTCCTGCTTGGGGCCTGGCACACGGCAGGAGGACAGGATCTGGTAGTACTGGTTCATGCACAGCGGCCTCCCCGCCAGCTGCTCCACAGGCAGGGTCTCGCTGTGGGGCACAGGACAGTGAGGCCAAGGGGCACAGAAAGGGGGCAGGCAGGGTGGGCGAGTGGGGCTCACACACCAGGGCCTGACCCCAGCACCTCTCCTCCCTGTTAATGTGAGCAGGGGCCATCGGGACCAAGGGGTCAGGAGGCCTGTGATCCCCTGGCGGGCCCTGTTTATGAGTCACCCAGAAACTCCCACTCTGGGCTTCAGTTTGCTATGGGGAACATAAGGCAGCAAGTCAACTTCTAGGGTCTCTTTTTCTTTTCTTGTTTTGAGACCGGGTCTTGGTATGCAGTTCAGGCTATCCTTGAACTCATTATGTACCCCAAGCTGGCCTCAAACTCCAGTGAGCCTCCTGCCTCAGCCTCCTGAGTGCTGGGATTGCAGGTGTGCGCCCGCATGCCTGGGTTGGGGTCATCCTTGATTGGGACGGGACAAGGCCAGCAGCAACAGCAGAGAACCTTAAGTGTCCCAGTCACCAGTAGGCGCTATTCCCAACCCTCATGGAAGCTGGACCGACAGGAACAGGAGAGGGCTGACCTCGGCCTGGCCAGGGGCAAGGGTGGCTGAGGGTGGGGTGCTCACTTGTCGATCATGCTCTTGAAATCCAAAACGCCCTCGATGAGTTTGGCAGCAAACCTGAGGGATCGGTTAGAGATATGAAGCTGTGTGGACACCCAGGGGCCCCTGGGCCAGGGACGCGGGCTGGGGGCAGGGGTGGCCACAGAAGAACCTATGGGTTCCAGCCTCACCTTCCCTGCCCTCGAGGAGCCCAGGTGCAAGCTGCCTGGGGTCTCCAGGGCATAGGAAGGGGCAGGCAGTGAAACGGGTGTCTCTTCTGCTCAGACCCTTCCTTTTCCCTCTCCTCTTCCTCTCTCCCTCCTTCCCTTTCTCCTTCTCTCTTCCTTCCTTCCTTCCTTTTCTCCTTCTTTCCTTCTTTTGTAGTGCTACAGATTTGTAGTGCATATGCTAAGCAAGTGCTCCACCACTGAGCTACACTCCCAGCCCAGGATTTAACCCAGGGCCTTCACACTGAGCTACCTCCCAGCCCTTCTTTTTTGTTTTCAAACAGGGTCTCCCTAATTGCTAAGTTGCCTGGGCTGTCCTTGAACTTGTGATCCTACCGTCTCATGTCTCAGCCTCCCAGAGTGCTGGGATTACAGGTGTGCACCACCATGGCTAAAAGTCTGAGATGAAGTCTTGCTAAATTGGCCAGGCTGGCCTCAGACTTGTCATCCTCTTGCCTCAGTCTCCTGAGTAGCTGGGACTGCAGGTGTGATCCAGGGGGACCATCTGGGTTTCTGAAGAGGGATTTCCTGGCCCAGACCAGCCACTAACAATTCCCTAACACAGGCACCACTGACTGTACTTCTGGGACTGAGCCCTGGCCCTTCTCGGGGTGTCCTGGCCCCTTTATTATTTCTTGCAGTGCTGGGATGGAACCCAGGGCCTTGGACATGCTAGTTAGGTAAGTGCTCTCCTGCTGAGCACCGCCCCCCCCGCTTTTCCTTCTTTGTCTTTTACTTGCCCTGTCCCTTTAAGAGCAGCAGGTGGCTGCACAGTGGTGAGAGCGGTGGCCTTGTGCAGGGATCCCTGCTGCTGGTATTTTTATCTCTGGTACTACTGGACAGGGGCCAGGGCAGGTGACGTGGCTGATGTAGAAAAGGGGACTGTGTATAAAGGTCACCTCTGTGCCCAACTGAAGACAGTGGGAAGGAGAGGACACTTACGACACTCTGCTAAGGGAGGCTCTGCCTCCTGTCCTGAAGGGTGACCCTGGGGAGGTCCCTTCATGCCCAGCCTCAGTTTCCCCATCTGTAAAAGGGGATGGTCCTCCTGAAGGTGTTTATAGGGATAAAAGGACAGCAGCGCTGGGTGGGAATGGGTTTGTGGCTCTGGAAACACCCAGAGCCCCAGCCCCAGCCCCAGCCCCTCCCGGCCCCTCCCAACCTTGGCCACTCACCGGAGCTGGCCCTGCAGATCCACAAAGTCCTGCTTGGGCAGAACCACACCCGGGCTGGAGCAGATGACCACGGGCTGGCGGTACTGGAGGTAGGCTGTCTTGAGCCACCACTCGGACAGCTGGGGAAGGCGCAGACCACGTCAGGGGTGCCAGGACCTGCAGCCCCTTCCTTCCCGGCCCAGGGACCTGGGTGGCCCTGCTCTGCAGCACTGAGTGTCCGAATGACCACCGAGACCCAGCGCACCCTGCCCTGCCCCGCACCCCACAGTCTCCCTGCAGAAAGGCTGGAAGGAAACCTGAGGCGGGGCACAGGAGGGGCCACCAGTTTTCTTTTCTTTCTAGTGGCACTGGGGTGAGAGCCCAGGGCCACAGGCATGCCAAGCACACACTCACTGAGCTACACCCTGCCCCCAGTCTGCTTTATCTTGCAAGTTCTCAGTCAATGGTCACAACACATTAGTGAAAAAAGATGCATCCCAAGGCCAAGGATTTAGCTCAGTGGTTCCGCCACCTGCCTCTCAAGCGCAAGGTCCCGAGTTCGATCCCCGGTACCACAAAAAACCCAAAACAAAACAAAACAAAACAAAACAAAAAAATGCATCCCTGACAAACAGAAAGAATAGAAGGGAAAGTCAGATGAAAACCAAGTCCAGCCAGTGAGTTCTTGACTTTCTCAGGCTGGGAACCGTCCAAGGAGACAAGGGCCTTCTGCCGGGCAGCCCAAGAGACTCACTCAGTGGCCTCAGTTTTGCCAGTGACAGGCTGGGAAGGGGACACCCACCCTAACCCCTTGGTCAGGGCAATCTTGAGGGGCTCACAGCAGGGACAAGTGATTGTGCTGGTGACAATGTACGGATAACATGTCCTGAGGGCCTGTCCGGGGCCAGCCATGGACACTGTGCTGCAGGCTGTCCCGGGGCCGCACACCCACATAACTCAGCCCTGGCCTTCCTGCTGTCCACACCCCACACGCACAGCCTCGCTCCCCTGCCCTGCTGCACTCCTCACCCCACAGACTCCTCGTGGGGAACTGCTGGTCCCTGGCACCAAGCCACTCCCCAGGCCTCAGCAAGAGGCAGGGGAGGTGACCTGCTCCAGGTAGGACACCTCTCCCCTCTGGCTCACAGCCTGGGGATGGGCCCTGGGTCAGCCAGGCTCCCTGTGTGGCATGGGGCCTCCGCAGGAGCTGCTGCAGGGCTCTGGTCCCCTCTCTGGGCCTCAGTTTCCTCAATAGCAGGGAGAGGCAGACAGGACAATCAGAGCCTCTGGCTGTACCTGGGACACAGGAGAGCCTGCAGGCAAGGCGTCTCCCAGAGAGACTTCTCGGTGGTCAGGAGCACCCCGACTGGGGAGCAGGTGGGCTGACCCCTGCCTTGTGAACTCTGGTTTGAGAGTCCCTGGCTGAACCACCTGAAAAACCCCAGCCCCAGCCCTTCAGGGCCAGCATCCTCACTCTCAACCCGAAGGCCCTGCCCTGCTGAGCCCACCTGCTTCCCACCTCCCATGGGGTTCCACCTGCCTGCCCCATGGCCCCTCCTACTTCCTAGTGCAGTCAGCCTCCCCACAGATCCAACCAGGCCAGGACAGGGAATGTTTGAGTGGAAGAAATACCCAAGTGCATCTATGTAAACGTTTGCGACTGTTTTTGCTTGTCACTGTCCCGACACAGGGTAGTGACCACACAGCGCTAACACAGGTATCACAAGTCACTTGGAGGGGACTGAAAGTATGTAGAAGGTGGGCACAAACACTAAGCCACTTTGGACAAAGGACTTGAGGGCTGGAGATTGTGGTCTCTGCCGGGGCCCCAGGACCAGTCCTCTGTGGACACCAAGTGCTCCTCGGGCAGAACTCTGCCCAGTTCTCCCACATCGGCATCTCCTCAGCCACCACCGATGTGGCAGCCCCTCTCCCACAGCCCTGGGCGTGGCTCGCGGACAGCTGTCTGGCCACTGCCTTGCAGACAATCCTGGGCCTCTGACCTCCCCTCCCCTGGCCCAGGGCACCTGTAGCTCCCTGGGGCGCAGGCACCCGCCCTGGCTCCCACTCTTTCCTCCAAGCAGCATCTCTGTTCTCGGTGTGGAAGTAAAAGCCAAGGGCAGGAAGTGCACTGAATACCAAATACACCAACAGACAAAGCCAGCACCAGAGGAACACAGCAGCACACAGCCCAGTGCCAGCCCGTGCTCCGTCCCCTCCGCTGTCACCCTCCCTTCCAGCCTGGTCGCACACGCCAGGCTGTTGCCCCTTTGCCCCTCGTCCAGATCTACCAGCCCTCCTCCCACCCTCCCTGCCCACTCAACAGAAAGATGCTGTCAGCTGCCCGCCCACGGGCTCCCCCCTCTCCCCTGCACAGGACTTCCCTTCCTGAAAGGGCCTCACACAGACCTGCACTCTGCCCCCATGTGACTTCCAGCTCCCAGAGACTGCCCCCATCCCTGGCCACCCTGTGGCCACTGAGTGCCAAGCACAGGGTGAGCAACCAGGAGCCTCCACAGAGCAGACCAGGGCATGTGCCAGGGTGGCTGTCGTGAGAGATTCCAGGGGTGCAGCCAGCAGCAGCCATGCTGAGTGGTGCCAGGGAGCCCTCCGCACTCACCCAGTTCTCCGACTTCTTGGCCCTGCGCTCCAGCCCCTTCTGCAGCCGCTCCCCGACGCCCCCCGGGTTCCGGAACTCGTCCACCAGCTTCTTGGTGGTGGCCCACTCCTCCTCGCTCACAATGGGCTGCAGTGCCTTGAGGTAATGGTCCAGAGACTGCTGGAGCGGGGGCACAGGCAGCCGAGGGAGTGCATCCTGGTGCGCCTTGAGCCTGCCAGGCAGCTTCATCAAGGAGGAGGATTTGAGGAAGCCCAGCGGCTTCACCTAGGGGAACAGGGCACCTTGTCTGTTCCCTCCACAGCTCTGTGCTCTCCAAGCCAAAGTCCTGGGTACTTATTGCCTGCCCCTGGGGGCGAGGTGGCCTCATGGGTGGCACTTACCCAGGCTTCCCAGCCCCCCAGGGCTGTGATGCCCCCGCCTCCCGAGAGGGTTGGACGTGCAGGCAGGCACGGGGAGGGTGGGGTGTGGCCCAGGGGACCCCAGTCAGGGTACATGTCACTGTTAGGGTGGTAGAAGTGTGGGGGAGCTCCCTACTGTCTGGAAGCACAGACACCAGCCTTCTTTGCCTGGGAAGACAGGTCACCTAGATCGGTGACGGCTCCCTCTCCTCTCCCTCCCCACCTCCTTTTCTTTCATCCCTTCTAGATTGAGAAACAGGATCAAAGAGAAGCACAGAGACCCGGACAGCAAGGCCTCAGGCTTTCCTCCTGTCTGCGGGGCGGGGGCCAGGGTGCGGGGCAGTGAGAGAAAGCTGAGTGGCCTGGCATGGAGTGTGAGCAGTGGCAGAGACAGAGGCAGAGACGGCGTCCAGGAGATTCTGGAGGCAGCAGAGAGAGAGACAGGAGGGACCCCAGCTGCTGGCAGGAAGCGGGCAAGTCTGTCCCATACCTGCTGTCTCTGTTGCCTGTCCTCCACAGCCCGACTGAGGCCCTGACCCTGTCTGTCTGCCTTGGCTGGATCGCTAAGCCTAACTGTGCTACCCAGGGAGGGAGCAGAACCTAACAAGAGGCAGCTACCTGCCCGGGCTGGAAAGAAAAGACAAGAGCCAAAGTTCAGGGCGGGGAGGCACAATGGCAGTGGCATGGCAACTGGGGTGGCATCTGGGGTTGTGACAGTGGCAGAAGCTACTGGACTTCGACAGCTGCTCCCACCTCTCTAATTTCCAGATGAGGAATGGGACACAGGTGAGTGGCTGGCAGTGGGCACTGGAGTAGGAGGGAACCTGGAAAGCTTCCCCTTTCGTCTCTGAATGGGCCTAGTGCCAGGGAGGTGCCTTGGCCAAGAGGTATTACAAAAAATCCACCTGCTAAAAATTCATGTAGATCTTTTTGATGTGGGGAAACTTGGCTGGAGGGTGGAAACAGCCAGGCCTATAAACCACAGTGGCTTTGAAAATCAGCCCTCCAAATGGGGCTGGAGCAAGGGGACAGACCCCTGGAAAGGGTAGCCAAGAGCCACACCCATTCCCTTCCTCCCTCTGGACTCTTGGGCTCTTCCTGGTCTCTACGAAAGCCTGGTTTTTCCAAGCAGTTGTTCCTTCAGCTGGAGGCCCAGAATACAGGATGTCTGGCAGGAAAAATAAGCCAAAGGTTGCTGGTTTGAGGACTGCGTTAGATCTGAATTAGCAGATGCTGGGCACCTGGCCAAGTTCCTTCTTGACTCAGTTTTCCCAGCAGTGGGGTCATCAGGCCAACCTGGTGGTCCTGGATGCCCAGGAGGCTCTGTTGGCCGAGAAAAAGGGAGGAGGGGGCTCAGACCCTGGGACTCCTAACCAGTCAAGTCAGTCTGAGCCCAGAGTGAGCCCTGAGCCGCTGGCTGTCCCTGGGAGACAGAGCCCGGCAAGCAGAGACATGCAAGGATCAGAGAGGAAAGGGACCCAAACGAGGACAGCAGCTTGTGGTTGGGAGGACAGGTGAGCAGAGTGGACAGGAGGGGAAGACGGATTGTGGGGAGACAGGGCACGGGGCCGCCACTTGCCCCTCCGCCAGTTCCCAGGACTTTCTGCCAAGCTCAGCTCGAAGCCTCCACGTGAGCTTCTCTGGCCACACACAGATCCCTGGGGGGCAAGGGCACTGACCCGCTGGACAGGCTTGGAGATTGGCCGCGGCTGGGCAGGGGCGGGCCACACGGCGTGCGCGGCTGGGCGCCAGTCGAATGCGGGGCCACCGGGCCGGGGTCTCGCCGCCCTTTCCGGTCCTTGTCACTGTCCGTCCCGACCTTGCGGGCCATCTCCTCCGCCGAACTCGGGGAGGCCCCAGCACTCCATCCCGCGGCCCTCGACAGCCCTCTTGCGTCCCCGTCCCCGCGCCCCAGCCGCACTCACCGCGGTCCTCGCAGCAAAGGCCAACATGGTTGCGGTCCCCAACGGACACTCAGTCCGTTCGGCCCCGCGCGCTGGACAAGGTCCGCGCCCCTGCCGGATCACTGGGTCCCCGCTAGGGCTCAGGGGCCAAGGTCGTCGAGTCACTGCCACTAGCGGGGAGCGGCGGCCCGGCGCCCACCCACGGGCCGAGTGGGCCGCGGGCGGGGCCTCGGGCGAGCGACCAGGAGGCTAGCTGGCCTAGCGGGGCGCGGGGCGGGGCCTGCGGGGACGGGGCGGGGCCGAAGCCGTTGGCGGTTGGAGACCGCGCAAGACGTTGGGGCTCAGCGGGGACTCCCGGCCGACACCTCAGTCCCGCTGGCTCTGCGCCACTCTCCAGCGCGGTCTAAATTCCATAGGCGGTGCTGCGTTCCGCCCAGGGGCCCTACGCGTTCCTCTCAGAGTGGCAGGAAAACACAACCAACCACTTTAACGGGGCAGTGACCTCTCGTGTTCCTCGCGTTAGGCTCAATGGCACGTGCAAGGATGACAGCTGGGGTACTACCACGCAAAGACATGGCCGCCTCCTCACCTCCCCAACGCCCCGCAAAGATATGGCAGTCGGACGCCGGGTTTCCAGCGCCCGGCCGCCATCCCTGCGCATGCGCCACGGCGCGCCCTTCCGACTCGGCCGCCGTCGCGGTGTGCGCGGGCGCAGCGAGCCGGCAGTTGGAGGTTTGCTCCCGGCGTGCCTCGCGCCGGCGTGGCGGCCGTCTTTGGAGGGGTGACTTCAGCTCTCCCTTTTCGGTGGTAGCCAGCCGGTGCTCATTGTTCTTCCGCGAGCTCGGAGTTTGTGGCAGGAGCCGGGGCAAGGGAGGGTGCAGCCGCGGAAATTGAGCGGAACCCTCGGGGACCCGGCTCGGTTGCTGGCAGAAGATGGCTGAGGCTGAGCGGCAGCCGCCCCCAGGTAGGGCCGGCGAGACCGGGCCCAGGCCGGGGCGGGGGCAGCGCCCGTGAGGGCGGGGAAGAGATGTGGGACTCGAAGTGGGGGCCTCGGGTCCCGAGATGGAGAACTGGGGGAGCCAAAGGCTGACGGGCTCCTGGGAGGAACAGGACTTGCTGGGCCTCAGGGAAGAGGAGCTGGGGGGATGGGGGAAGGGCGTGAACCGAGGCTGCCCAGGGGGAGTCGGGGGTGCAGCCAGGATTTGAAGAGCCTGGACTGCCCGAGCCGGCTCCAGGTATGTATTATAGGGGGGACCTTTCCCACATTTGGGGAGCTCGTATTTCGGTGGCGCTCCTGACCTGGTGGAACAGTTGCTAGCGATGGGGGTGAAAGGGATTGAGGCGGCTGCTTTTCTCATTGGACCTTGCTGGGATGGGTCTGGGCCTGCCTTGCCCAGTTTCAGACTCCTCCACACCCCAGCCCACCTCCTCGCTCTGTCCCTCTTGGAGGCCGGACTCTGGGGTTTCAGTGGCTGAGAGTTTATGGGGAGAAACTGCCGTTGGTGTCTAAACCATTAATTTAAAAAGGCTGGTTGTGCAAGGAGATGAGTGTCTGGCGTCTCTGTCTGTAACTTGTTTACACTGTGGCCTCTTTTTAGTTCGGCTCAGATAACTGGGTTGGAGATACCAGGGAAGGATCGTACACAGATCCCTTTCCTGGAGGAGAAGGCTGCTTGCTGACCTCCTTTGAGCTAAGAAGAACTGGACTTAGATAACATTGAAAATTCGGACAGGAGCAAATAGGTTGGCCAAACACAGCTAATGTTTTGAAAGCATTTGATATTTCTTCTGCCCTGCATCTCACGAGGGAGAAATTTTGAAAATCAGAAGAGGCATTCCCTACTAACCCACCCGCCCCCCATGATGAGCAAAGTGCCAGGGAATTGGAGAGCAGACATTTGTTTTAGTTTGTACAGAAACTCTGCAAGTGTGCCTTACAAGTTCTGGCGATGAGATCAGGAGATGTGAGATACATAGCAGCCAGGCTAATGAGTGACATGCATGTGGCTCTGGAGATGAATGTGGGAAACCTGGGTGCTGAAAGAGAAAGGCCCACAGGAGTTACCTATGGCTCCTGTAGAAGATCCACGTGTCCCCAGAGGTGGCCAGAAGTTTGAAACAACTTTTTGGATCGGTGGAAAGAAGTTCTGCTTAGTGCGGTGGTAAAAACTGGGTTTTGGCTGGTGAGTCTTAGCCTGCATGAGCCTCAGGCGTCTTTTATTTATTTATTTTGCTTTTTGAGACAGGGTCTCATTATATAGTTCAGTCTGGCCTTGAAGTCACTGTAACCCAGGCTGCAGCCTTGAATTCCCAGTGATCCGCCTGCATCAGCCTCCCGAGTGCTGGGGTAACAGGTGTGCACTACCACACCCAGGAGCTGTCTTTTAAAGTGAAGATCCTCTTCATGGAGGTGTAGTGTGCGTTCCTGCCGGAGATGTGAGAAATCATGGGACACAGTGGGTAGTCCCTGGACACTGACTGCTGTGTTTCTCAGTCTTGTACAGGTCGAACATGTACACCTGTTTTCCAGTGGTAGGTCATGATCCAGGATACTCTTGGATTTTATTGTTTTTTTTTTCAGGAACATCTTTAAAACTCTGGATATTGCTGTCTTAAACTGGGAGGTCAAGGGTTCCTTTGTCAGAGACAGATTTAAGGCTGAAGAGACTGTGGGTACAACCTCATTTCTCATAGTCCTGTCTTTTTTTTTGGTACCGGGGATCAAACTTGGGTCCTTCACAGTTCTGTCTTTGAAAACTCTTTTTTGACTTGGGGTTGTGTATTCTGGCAACCTGTTCATGTTTCAGCAGTGTTTTGAGGGGTTCCTGTGAGGTAGCCTTTGCCCTGGCTGTGTGGCTTTCTTGCCCGTGCAGTGACTGGAGGGCTGTTCCTTGCAGGGAACAGTTCCTTCAGGCACGCGTTTGTACATAAGAGCTGTCTGTGTTCTCAGAGATCATTTTGCAGATTGATTATTTGGGATGCAGAACACATTTTTCTATAAAAACAATGCGGTGGGTCAAGGATTTAGCTCAGTGGTTTTACTGCCTGCCTCTCAAGGGCAAGGTCTCAAGTTCGATCCCCAGTACCAAACAAAACAAAATAAAACAATGTGGTTGGGTTACCAGCCCAGCGTGCAAAGCTTATTATTTAGCATCTTACTTGAAGTAGCAATTTACTAATAGTGGGGGCCTTGGTTTCAGCCCCGTGAACAGGCTTGTAGGGGAGGAGGAAGAGGCCTTCAGCACTTTGAGTTAGATATTGTCCTTCTCCTTAGGTCTCCAGATCTCTTGGCACTTTTCCTGTTCTCAGATCTCTCCAGGCAGGTTCTAGTCACCAAATGTCACATGTTTGAGAACCTTCCCTTTCCTTAGGTCCCTGTCCCTTTTTCTCCATGCAGCTGATATCAGCTAGGTTTTGGGAGGAAGGCAGTGTGGTTATGTTATGTTGAGTGACTGATTGTCCTTCACAAGTCTCAAGAATTAATTAATTCATTTATTTATTTATTTTTTGAGACAGGGTCTCGCTGTGCAGTTCAGACTGGCTTTAAACTTACTATGTAACCCAGGCTGGCTTTCACTGGTGGCAATCCTCCTGCCTCAGCCTCTCAGGTGCTGGGGTTACAGGCCTGTGCCACCACACCTGGCTGAGAATTTGCATCTTTAAAGGAAATGCTGGCAAGGCATGGTGGCGCACTCCTGCAATCCCAGCCCTGGAGAGGCTGAGGCAGGAGGATCACCTGGAGTTTGAGACTAGCATGAACTATATAGCAAGACTCTGTCTCAACAAAAAAAGGAGGTGGGGAGTGCTTACTAACCTAGGACATCTTTAATTGTGGATGGAGGCCCACAAACTCCTTATTGCAAACCTTGATGGTTAGGTATATTTTGAAATTCAGAGTTGCTCATAGTTTGGAAAATACCACCTCATAGTCAAAATTATTTCAGGAAAACATATAAATACCCCCACTAAGTGGTTTACACAAAGCCTGTAAATGTCTCCTGTCAGTTTAGGTTCTGTTCTAGATGAGCTTATGATAAGCTTTTTAAAAAGCCACTTTGGGGGCCGAGGATTTAGTTGTGGCACCTTGCCTGCCTCGAAAGCACAAGGTCCTGAGTTTGATCCCCGGTACCAAAAAAAAAAAGCCACTTTGGGTTTTGGAGCTTTTTGGGTTTTGGAATTATGAATAAGGAATCAGGGTTTGTATCTCCCCATTGCACAGTGGAGGGAGTTCTGTGGTACAGGCGAAATGTTTTGGTTGTGGTGTGAAATTGGCCTCGAGGTCACCACATAGAACAGTGTTGAGTATTCCTTTTCTCTCGACTTCTGGAAATACAGAAACTCCATTGAAAATTGTGCAAACCCCACCCCCCCATGTTATAAGAGCACCACATGCTTGTTAAAAGTAGTATTTGCCTTAAAAATGGAAGTCTTGCCAAGCGTGGTGGTGCATGCCTGAAATCCCAGCTCCTTCGAGGCTGAGACAGCAGGATCACAAGTTGAAGGCAGCCTGGGCAGCTTGGACTCCATCCAAGCCTTAGAGATGACCATAAGCACCTTTGTTGTTTAAGCTGTAGATTTTTTCCAGTGTGTATACTGATATGTGTATGTGTTATTTATACGAGGCCGCAAATGTTTTTGCCAAAAATGAGATTATACTAAATATGACACAGTAATTTTTTCTTCTCTTTAATATGCGGGTTGTCTTTTCTGTGTCTATACTACAGGTTTTATTCCTTTTAAGAGCTCTGAAGCACAAGAACCCGAGTTCGATCCCCAGTACCAAAAAAAAAAAAAAAAAGAAAGAAAGAAAAAAAGAGCTTTGAAGAGCCCCGTTATAGGGCTGTGTTACTTACCTGTCACCGTATCAGATGATATTCAGCTTATTTCTCTTTTTCCTGATGCGGTGACCTCCCTGTATGTGTCTGTGAGCCCATCTGAAGGGAGAGCCGCCAGCAGGGCCCTTGCCCGGCGGGTCCTATGTGCAGTTTGTACTCAAAAGGTAGAGCTGAGCTGCCCCGTGGCAGGCCATGCCGACCTGCACTTCCACAGACGTGCCAGACAGCTCCTGTTTCCCTCCCAGATCAGCTGCCAGCCTTCCCTGGCCAGGAGATCATGGGCATGTCACCTCTCTTTCATTCAGGAGGCTGGGGGTGGTGGTGTCCAGTCTTGGTGCAACATGTATTGTTTTTCCTTCTGACTGTCCTGTCAGGTAGGCAAGCAGGAGGCGAAGGCATGGTTATTGAAGACAACACCAGTGACTGGCTTTTTATTTCTTGCAGAGCAAGAAAGGCAGGAGGCCAGCAGGTCTGGCTGACACGCGTCAGTCTGTCCTGGAGGACGATTCTGATCTTACTAGGGCTCAGGTGTTGGAGTCTTGGTTTAAGAGTGAGAAAGATCTTTTGCAGATGGGTCTCGGGATGGAGGCAAGAGTGAGAAGGGGAAATGAAGAGGACTAAGATGCCACAGTGTATGTGTGGACTCCCCTTGATGAATGTATGCATTATGAACCACAAAAATGTACCCAGACAAAAAATGTTACAAAGGAGAAAGAGCTGGGGGGATTCTGTTCCCCTAACTGCCTTCTTGGCTCCTTTCTCAAGAGTCTTCAGAGGAGACCCCTCCAGCCACGCAGAACTTCATCATTCCGAAGAAGGAGATCCACACAGTTCCGGACATGGGCAAATGGAAGCGTTCTCAGGTACTGGGGTCTGCACCGAGGCATCAGAACCGGGCTGAGGACCTGGACTTTTCCGACAGTGCTTTTCTCGGCCTGATGCTGTTGTTCTGGCTGAACCTGAGTGTCCTAAGTGATAGTGGGCGCTTCTTGGCCGAAGTAATAGCAGAGGCGGGAGGTAGCGTGCAAAGGGAGGAGAGTCTGTCTCATGGCCGTCTTGCCCAGGGCTGTGACTAAAAAGAGCTGGAGCCAGGCCCAGCACAAGGGGTGGCAGACTGAGTTTCTCTGCTGCTCAGCGCAAAGGGTGGGCAGAAGGCAGCAGCCTGTGGCTCCAGGCCTGTGTTCCAGGCTGTGGAAAGACGGAGACTGAGAAGAATAATTTCAAATGCTCAGGGCAGGCTTTGGGCCCATTTCTAGCCAGGTACCTAGGCCTGGACTGGTCAGCTGGGTGGATAGTTTCACTCGGACAGACAGACGGACAGACTGGGAGGCAGGCGCAGGGCCCTGAGTACTGAGTGGGCTCGCCACGGTGCACCTGCTGTGCTTGCACTGGGCCCAGGCGCCATGGCTTCCATGTTTGGCTCTCACCGGGGCTTGGGATAGCGTGAGGCTCCCTCTTTCACAAGCCTGCCCTCTCAATATTCCGAGATGGTTATCACACCTTTTCTGAGTCCTCACGGGCTAGAGACCTCAGTCCCGTCGGCTGCTCCAGGGACCTGGCTTGGGTCCTTTCATCATCTGGGTTGCTCTGCCTCTGAGTTTCTCAAGCTCAGCACCAGTGACATCGCAGGTGGATGATTCTTCTTGCAAAGGGCTGTCCTGAGCCTGGGGACATCTCCCCTGGCTCTGCCCAGTAGGCGCTCATTTCCCCAGTTGTTGCTGCCAAACACCCTCCGGGAGCCAAATCGCCCTGAACCTCTGGTTCACTTGAACCCAGACCTGACTCTGGCTCTTGCCTCCCATTGTACTTTGTTTGTTTGTTTGTTTTGTTTTTGTTTTTGGTACTGGAGATCGAACTCAGGTCCTTGCGCTTGAGAAGCAGGTGGTGAAACCACTGAGCTAAATCCCCGGCCCCTCCTCCCATCGTACTTTGAAGGACAGTTTCCCTGGCCTGGTGAGGACCCATGTGGTCTGCTGGAGGGTCCTGGGGTAGGACTGCTCCATTCTAGAAACCATGCTGCTTCTCAGGGCTGGTCCCAGGTTTGAATGAGGAGAAAGACAAAAGCAAGGGGGAGTAGGAATGAAGAAACAAGACCAGGCAGGAGTCCCTTGCCCCTAGCGTCTGCCTCCCGAGGGGCCTGGACCTCAGAGCTTTCTGCTCCCTGCCAGCCAAGCATGGAAGAAAGGCTCAAGCTGGAAGCTGGGACCAGGTTGGCCTGGCTATAGGCAGGAAGCACCTCCTTCTTGGGCATCTGCACAGCAGCCAGACACCCTGGCCTGTGCCTGGAACTAGGGCCGGGACTGATCATGTTCCTGGGAATCCTGGCGTGGTCTTGACCTCCTAGTGGTATAGCGTGGTGGGGAACATTCAGGGCTCCACTTTGGGGAGAAGCTGGTGGGCTCCCAGCTCCATGTCTGAGGAGGTCTTGGGCAAATCTCTTCTCCCAATACTTGGTCTCCTTAGAGTGGGAACAACAACGGTGCCTTCCTCGTGGGATGTCATGTAAAGGCTGCCGGAGCCGCTGGGTGCACTCAGTGGACTGGCTGGAGGTTGGGTCCGTGTGGTTGGATCACCACTCTGTTGAGGGGTGCGAGAACTTGGCCTCCCCTGTGTACTGCTGCACTATGTGGGAGCCTGGGGAGCTGGGGTGGGCGTCTTACCTGTCTCCTGGCCCCACACCCCTTTCTTTATTATTATTTTTTTGGGTACGGGGGATCGAACTCGGGTTCTTGCGCTTGCGGGGCAGGCAGCAGCACCACTGAGCTAAATCTCCGGCCCCCCACGCCCCTCTCTTTGGTAGGCGTACGCTGACTACATCGGATTCATCCTCACCCTCAACGAAGGTGTGAAGGGGAAGAAGCTGAGCTTGGAGTACACAGTCTCGGAGGTGGGTGCAGGTGGGGTGGCTGCACACATCGGGCCGTGCAGAAGACAGGTTGCCCGAGCACATGTGTGTGTGTTTTGCTGTCATTGCTCTCCTGTTATTTATTTATTTATTTATTTATTTATTTATTTGGTGCTGGGGATCAAACTCGGGATCTTGTGCTTGCAAGGCAGACGGCGGAACCACTGAGCTCAATCCCTGGCTGCTCTCCTATTTTAAATCTGTATAGACAAATACTTATAAAGGGGATCAAGACAAACATACAGTTTAATAACCTGCATTTTTGCTAACTGGTGTTTTGTTTTGTTTGCCGGGCTGGGGATTAAACCCAGGGGCTCGAGAACGCAAATAATACCACTGAGCTACACCCCAGCCCTAATGGGTATCCTTTTTTTAGTTTTTTGAGGTAGGGTCTCCCTTTGTAGTTCAGGCTGACCTTGAACTTGTGGCAATCCTCCTGGCTCAGCCTCCTGAGTGCAGGGATTACAGGCATGTGCCACCACGCCTGGCTGTTAACTGGTATTTTTAATATAATTTTTGAAATTAAAAAAGATGACATTCAGATGTGGTGGTACACACCTGCAGTGCCAGCAGTCTTGGAGGCTGAGGCAGGAGAATTGAAAGTTCAAGCCCAGCCTGGGGAACTTATTGAGATTCTATCTCAAATAAAGGGCTGGGGATGTAGCTCAGTGTGAAGGCCCTGGGTTCAATTCCCGGTACCCCAAAAACCAAACCAAACCATACCAAAAGAAATAACCACCCTAGTGAGAGATCACTAGGGAATTGTACATAAGTGAACACAAAACTGATCTCTCCCTGTTTCCCCTCATGCCCAGCTCCTGGGCGGCCCCAGTGCCAGCACGCATCTCAGGACATTGCGAGCTCCTGCTCTGCTTTGGTATAAGCGGCTGCCACACAAGCCCCCACTGTAGGTGCTGCTCCAAAGGGTCCTGTCACACATCTGTGGCCTGCCTTCCTGAGGGTTCTGGCCTGCAGTGGCAGTGCTGAGTCAGGGCAGGTGCTTTTTTCCCGCCTTTGGGTTCACACTGCCCTGTGTGCTTTGTGGTTCTTTGACCCAGGCTTACTGTGTGGGAAGGGCAGGGCCTGGGGGCAGGCGGTGGGGCCATTGGAGGCTGTGGTCTTGCAGGCTGTTGGCTGTCATAGTGCCATCTCCCAGGACTAGGTCCCACTGGCCTCCTAGGGTGATGGCCCAGTTGGCCCACAGCCACCTTGAGCCTCTTGTCTGAGACATCAGGGCCTGAGTAGTCTCCCTGTGCCTGGGCTGCCCAGCCTCTGGCCACACGTGCAGGCTGCTTGCCCTGGCCCAGTTTCTCCATGTGACCTGAGGCCAGCACAGCCCTGTCTGCCCACTGTTGTGTTGCTGGTGCACCCACTTCTTCTGGCCCACGCTGGTTGCTGGTGGCCCGGGCCTATTCTGTCTGCTGTGCTGGGGCCGGGCAGCTTCTTGGGCATGGCTCCAGGCACAGGCTGGAAAGGAGGAGAAGGTTCTCCTGGGGCCTGTGGCAAAGGATGCCCAGCTGATCTCTGGGCCGGGCTGTCATGGGGAGAGCTAATTAAAGGGCAGTAGCTAATTACCCCAGCAAATGCTTGGCTGCCAGATCCCTTTTGGGTCCCTCGGTTGCCTGAGACTCTACATGACGACTGCACTGATCTGGTGTTGCCTTCCTGAAAGAGCTGTCATTCTGGCAGGGTGGCAGCGCATTTATGTGTTGGGGTTCTGGAGGCAAGAGTGTTCATTGATGTGCCACTTCTGAGCCGAGTCACCTTGTCCCATCTGACCCTGTGTCCTCATCTCTAGAGTGGGAACAGATGCACGCAGCTCCCGTGGTGAGGAACCATGGAGACCCCACACTGGAGGTCTTTGCCCATGCCCACACACCCAGGTGCCTGTGCTGTTCCTAGTTGGGATGAGTGACTTTCAGTTCTGACCCTCAGCCATGCTGTTGCTGCTGCTGAAAGTCTTCATCCCTCACTGGAACAGGGGCTGCTCCTCTCTCTGGGCGCAGAGGTGACTGATTTGGTCTCCAGACACCTCCCAGTTGCTGCCCAGGGCTGTCAGTGGCTCAGGCTGTGTGGTGGTGGCAACATGCAGAGCTCTCTTCCCACATCCTCCCCTGTGCCTCCCACGGCACAGATGGCAGCTGCAGCTCCTGAGAGCAGAGCAGTCTAGGCCAGCAGCTTCCATCCCCCAGAGCAGAGCACAAGCAAGGGCGAGGTTGGTTGTCTACTCTGTGACTAGGAGCTGTCTCTCTCTCATAATGCCTGCCCTACTGTGTGGGAACTAATACTGATTTTTGTAAAACAAAGGTGATAGTAGATGGGAGGGTTATTTTTGTTTGTTGTAATGCTAAGGGGGCAGAATTAAAAATTGGTGGGCTGGTGATTTAGCTCAGTGGTTCGGCTGCCTGCCTTGCAAGCGCAAGATCCAGAGTCCGATCCCCGGTACCAAAAATAAAAAAAAGTTGGCTACTAATATTTTAGGGAAGATTTTCCTGACCCATGAAATCCAGAAAGTTCGTTGGAGTAGGGAACTCAGATCTGCCTTTGTGCTCCAAGGATTCTGGCCCACAGTCTGTCCCCTGCAGTCCTCCTCCCAGCCCGCCAGACAAAGGGGCAGCCCCAGGGAGTAGAGTCCTGATTATTCATGGCCAGCCAGCAGAGCAGCAGCTGGGGCCTGGTCCCGCTGGCCTCCAGCCACCTTCTTTATCCCCTCAGTGCCTGTTGAGACCGGGTTCCCCAGGGACCCGGTGCTTCCCCAGCAGCCATAGACCCAGTTGCTGTAGGAGGTCAGGACTGTTGAGCAGATCCTGGGGACCTGCACCTCAAAAGCTAGGCTGTGGCAGCACCTGCTGTCACATGGCTGAAAGGCAGTTTTGTGCCCCAGCCGTCTGCCCTCAGGCAGGTGTTAAAGGGAAGCTGCACCCCCTGCAGGAAATGTCTCCCCTCCTGTGCCCCCAGCATAGGAGAGGGGAAAGCAGCAGGTCAGCATCGGGTTGCACAGCAGGCAGGGGCTCTGTTTATCATGGGAGCTGTGCAGCCAGGGGTGAGCCCAGCACATCCATCAGCCCCAGCCCACCTCAGAGTGACTGGCGCCCTGGGTGCTCTGTGCCCCGTGGGGGCCTGCACTTGATGTCTTGCAGTTCCAGCACAGCTTTACCTGTGGCCGTCACCATGCTGGTTCCCCAGGAGCGCCCAAGCCCTGAGTTATAGCTTCAGCTCCATTTTTTTTGTTGTTTTCAGTGTTTAATTTTGAGACAAGGTCTCACTAAGTAGCCCAGGTTGGGCAGTCCTCCTCTCAGCCTTCTAGAGTGCTGGCATTACAGGGTGCACCACCACACCTGGCTGAGGTTTCTCCTTAAGCTGCTTTTTCCTGTAGACACAGGCAAGATCACTTCTGGCAGGGCCCCACTCCGCAGGGCAGCCTGACTTTGAATGGCCTTTACAGCCCTCTGCACTGGTCTGTTTCCCTGAGCCACATGCAGGAGCACTCCAGCCTCCCTTGCCGACCTGCTTTGGGCTGGAGGTCCCATCCGATTTCCTCCCCAGTCACATTTTCTGTCCCGATGCCTCGAACCTGTGTCACCAGTCCCAATTCCCGGGCGGTTTCCTGTGGGAAAGGCGTAGCGAGCCGGGCTGCAGACCCGATGCCCTCTACAGCACTTCAGTAAGGCTGGTTGCCAGGCTCTTTCCCACGGTGTTTTCTGTGGTGGCAACTTGATGGGAAGTGACCCAGGGGTTCGACAGTGAGGAACCCTTTGAACCACTGACCTTGCATCAGCCCTGTACTACTTACTCGTGAGATTCTGTGGCAGGCTAGGAGTGAGGTGTGTGCTGCTGCGGAGTGAGGCCACAAGTGGGCGTCGCCTTGCAGCCTCTGTGCCTCAGAAAGTGCAGTGCACTGCCCTCAGTTGGCGATGAAGACACGGCGGCTTCCGAGCTCACAGCCACTCCTCTCCCTTGCTAGTCCTTGCCAGGGTGTCTGCACCTTCCTAGCCCCGAGACACCGTACTCAGTATGGCTTAGAGGAGGAGCGGTTCATTTTGGCTCGGGCTTTAGCAGACTGAGTCCGTGGTTGGCTGGCTCCAAGGCAGAAGCAGCACAATGGCAGGGCGTGGCAGAGGACAGCTGCTCATGCCATGGCTGCAGGGGCCAGGGGCACCTTCTGGGCCACCCTGTCCACCTACCTCTTTGAACCAGACCCACTGCCTAGCAGCACACTCAGCTGTGCATCCCCCACAGATGAGTGCAGCTTCCCACAAGCCCCGCCTCTGAAGCTGGGACATTTTAGATCCCAACCACAACACCTGGCCAGACCACAGCAAACAGTGTATGAGTACAAGATAGCAGGCAATTCTGCCACACACCTGATTTTAGCTGCTCAGGAGGCTGAGGCAGGAGGATTGCAAGTTCAAGCCTAGCCTGGACAACTTAGCAAAACCCTGTTTCAAAATTAAATGCGAAGAGTTGAGAATGTAGCTCAGTGCTCTCGGGTTCCATCTCCATACCTTGCAAAAACGAGGCAAAACAGAAGAGGTGTTGAAATGTGGGTAGTGTTAGTCAGGTGTGGTTGTTGGTGCCCATCTATAATCCCTGCACTTGGGAAGCTGAGGCAGGGAGATTGGGAATTTGAGGCCAGCCTCGGCTGCACGCCAAGCTCAGTACTGGCCTGGACTACATAGCAAGACCTTGTCTCAAAAACAAAAAAGTCAGTCAACAGTGTTTATTTCTGGGTGGCCAGCTCCCGTTGTTTTCTTCCTTTCACACTTTGGCATTCTGCAGGGGTAGGTATTGTGCAGCAGGCTCGGGGCCTGAATAGACTCCATCTTAACAAAGGTCAGGCTGGAGTTTGTGCTTTTCCCATAGCCTCTCCTGGGTCGGCTGGGTCTAGGAACAGTGCTGCAGCTGCCCACCTGGCCCTGTTGGCCTGTTGCTCCTCCCTTGGCGAGCTCTCCGGGCCCCCCTGAGCTGCTTCCTATTCGGGACCAGGGGACTGGGGCAGAGGCCCACAGGAGCACAGGGCACAGCTGGCACACCTGTGGTCACTGCCTGGCAGCTGTTGGGCCCCTCTGTGGCTCCAGGCTGGGCCCCTGGTCACTTGGGCCTGTTACCCCACAGGCCATCGAGAAGCTGGTCGTGCTTCTCAACACGCTGGACAGGTGGATTGACGAGACCCCTCCGGTGGACCAGCCCTCACGCTTTGGGAACAAGGCCTTCAGGACCTGGTACGCCAAGCTCCATGAGGTGAGGCCGCTGGGGCGGGGCAGGTGGGGAGGGCACATCGCAGGGGTTGTTAACAGGGCCGTTCTGTGTCCCCAGATACCCACGCGTTCACCCATGTCCCAGCCATCTCATCTCCTGGGACTGGCTATGGTTACACAACCCTTTGTGTGGGGCTTTTTTTTTTTTTTGAGACAGTCTCACGCTACAGTTCAGGCTGGCCTGGAAAATTCATGGTGATCCTCCTGCCTCAGCCTCCCCTGGGATTACAGACATGCACCACCATGCCTGGCTGCATGAGGCATTTATTGGCTAGTTGATTGATTGGTTGGTAATGCTGATGGAACCCAGGCCTCTTGAGGGCTAAACACGTTCTCTACCACTGAACTATGCCCCCAGCTACAAGGCTGCTTACTAAGTTACTGTGTTAGCAGCAGATGGGCCCCCTGGAAGGCTCACTGAGAGACACCTGTGCGGCCAGGCTGCGGAATGCTGTGTAGCTGTGAAAAAGCACAAGGACGCTGCCTAAGGCTCAGTGGAAGGGACCCAGTGATCCACTGCTAGGTTCAAGAGGGGCCGTGTGGTGCCATACACGGTGCTCTGCCTTGTGGCGAGGGGCAGTGAAAGTAGGCGCCTGTGCGGCTCAGCAGTGTGCGAAGTGTTACCAGGAAGCTCCTTCAGAAAGGGCTCGCCAATCAAAAGTATTTCCAGCCCTTCTCACCTCGAACAAAGAATTGGGCCGAAAACAGTGCCAAAAGTTTATTTGAAAAGTGCAGGGTGAATGTGTATGGGAGAAACCAGCTCTGCAGAGTGAACTTGAACAGAACAAAAGGAAAAGAAGATAAAAGCAAAAATAAAAGTACCCGCTTCATCTGAGGAATGCACCATGGGCTACGGTGGGAAGTCACGATGGTGGCTTCTCGTGGCGTCAAGTCTCTCGTGGGCACCCGAGCAGCCCTATGTGCGGGGTCCTGGGGTCTTGTGACAGGTCCCGCTCATCTCCCCAGACGGCTCTGCCCCACTCCACCCCACCCCGCCTCCTAGGTCAGAAGCCCCACAGGAGGCTTGGAGTGTGGGCCTGTGTGGGCTGGGGCAGCCAGGGCTTCTGCACCCTTTGTGCGTGTTCTCGTTTTTATCTCTGGAGATGTTACCTGTTCAGAGCAGACGATCCGGGCTCAGGCCAGTGCCCCAAATGTGAGGGTCCTGTCGGCCGGGTTGAGCCTAGGGCCGCAGGTGGCTGCCAGCTGTTCAGGAGATTCCTGTGCCAGGTCTAGCTGAGCTTGGAGAGCAGAACGCAGCACCAGGACCTAGGGAGTGCTGTGCTGGGAGGGTGCCTCGGGTGCACAGCTCCTGCAGACTTGTGCTAAGGTCTAACTGAGAAGAGAGTTGCCGAGTCCTAGTTTTACAGCTTGGTGGGTCTCTGCATGTTTTTACATCATTCATGTTAAGCTACAGATATTCCGTCTCTGCAGCAGTGCCCGCCCAATTGGTGTCCCCCTGATTTCTATACCATACATTGATTCCTTTGGGTGTCTTTGAACTTCACATCCATGCCTGGCTTATTCTGCTTGATGTTACATCTATGAAGTTTGTTCATGTTGTCATGTATAGTGGTAGATCTTTCTCTTTGGTGTGTAGTATTCCATCGGAGGAGTATGCCACAGCTTATTCCTTCCATCATTGATGGACATTTCATTTTGGCCACTATGAAGAATGCCACTTGGCTGGACACACTGGTACACACCTCTGATCCCAGTGACTTGAGAGGATAAGGCAGGAGGATCCCAAGTCAAGGCCAGGCTGGACAACTTAGTAAGACCCTGTCTCAAAGTTAACAAAAAAAAGAAAAATTTAAAAAGAGCCAGGGTGGGGAAGTGGCTCAGTTGGCAGAGCATTTGACTAGTCCAGGGTTAATGCTCAGAACCCCCCAAAATAAAAGCCTTCTGCTGGATTTATGGCACAGGGTCTTGCTGCCCTGTGGGTATGGAGAGAGAGGGTGGCTGTGGGCATGATAGTCCTGACCCCCCAGTGCTGACTGGGGGGGCAGCAGGTGCTGAGCCACCCCAAGGTGGTCTTCCTGTTGTGTGGGGGCACATGCCCTGGCCTCGTGGCCATTGGCATGGTGCCGTCACTGCCCCTTGAGACACTGCCTAATCTGTTGCCACTGCTCTGTGTCTCTCATGTTATCAGGAAGCAGAAAACCTTGTGGCCACAGTGGTCCCCACCCATCTGGCAGCGGCTGTGCCCGAAGTGGCTGTTTACCTGAAGGAGTCCGTGGGCAACTCCACACGTATCGACTATGGCACAGGTACCGCCGCCTGCTGGCGGGCTCTGCACTGGCCTGGTTCCCCTGCTTTCCTTCTAGGGCTGCTTTCTTCTTGCTCCAGCCCAGCAAGAGTTTGCCACCCCCCTGCAGCTTTTGGGGCCAGCAGGGTGCCTGTATCAGAGGGCACAGTCGTGGGTGTGGGCGGCTGGCGCAGCATCTCCCGGTCGGCGCACCAGGGGCACTGATGCCACGAGTGCAGGGCTGACTGCTTCTCTCTAAAGGCGTCTCTGCAGGCCCTGCAGCAGCACCCTAGCACCCTAGTGACCCTTCCTCCGGCACCTCCTGCAGCTCTCGATGTGGCTGAGAGCAGTGCTTTGGTGGTTTCTCCCTCTCCCTGATGCCTCCGATCCCCCACCCCGTTCTCTGCTGCTGAGCTCTTTGGCCCTGTTGTCTATTTTGGTCAAGCTGACTGGACTTTTTCTGTTGTTTTTTTTGAGACAGGGTCTCACTATGCAGTTCAGGCTGACCTTGACCTTACTGTGTAGTTCAGGCTGGCCTCGAACTTGCGGTGATCAGCCTCCCAAGTGCTGGGGTTATAGGCATGCCCAGCTGGCTGACTGCACTTTGAAGAAAGGGACCATATGGGCACCTGAAAAGCAGGGGCTCCCTAGGTTGGGGGTGGCCTCAAGCCCAGGGGATCCTGTTTTGGTGAAGTCCCTGCTTTACAAAACTGGAAGAGCTGCTGCTCCTTCCGCTTCCTTCTTCCCTCAGGAGCAGAACCATAGCAGTGACTAGATAGCCACCGTCCAGCATCCCTGCCAGACCATCTGCTCCACGAGGGCAGGGCCATTCATCACACTCTCCTTGGTGCTTGACAGGGGCCGGGACTCCCCAGTGGAGGTGCTCAGTAAACCGGGTGGGGTAGCCACCTTGTTCTGGCATCAGCCTCTGGGCCTCTTAGCAGTAGAATTACAGCACAGTAGCTCTGAACAGGACCGAGGTCGTTCTGGACATGGAAGAGGCCCCATTCTCTCTGCAGTGGCCTTCCTCCTTGGAGGGAGACGAAGAGCACTCCCAGCACTCTCCAACACTGTCAACTTCAGCCTCTTTCTCCCCAGGGCATGAGGCAGCCTTTGCTGCTTTCCTCTGCTGCCTCTGCAAGATTGGGGTGCTGCAGGTGGATGACCAGATAGCCATTGTCTTCAAGGTGTTCAATCGGTGAGGAGGGAGGGTGGGGTGGCCACCCGTGGCAGGGGCCAAGGGTCTCTTCTATCTTCCTCCTCCTTCTGGTCAGGCTGCAGACGGGACACTGGAGGGGTCTCCCGCATGGTTCACGGCTCTCATCCTGTCCTGACCAAGCCTGCTGTGGATGAGGCCCAAGGCCTCTCCTCCCACCAGCTTCACATTCTGCTCCCAGGAAAGCCAGCAGGAGTGGCAGGGCAAGGAGCCTGTATGTGGTCCTTGTCCCGGGAGCCTCCTCCTAAATGCTGCATCCTCACCATGCTCCTGGGAAGCAGCAGGGAAACCAAGGCCCAGAGAGCTCAGCTCTGCCAAAGTTATCCCAGGCCAGGCAGGGACTCTAATCTGCACCCTCGTGCCAGGCAGCCCTTGGTTGTATGGAGCCACCATTCCCAGCGCATGCTGGCCATGCTGAGGTCACAGGCATGGTGTGTGTGATGGCCTGCAGGTGACTCAGACACATGGCCACTGGTCATGTGGCGGACAGGTATGGAGGGACCGACGAGCTGCTCTCCTTGGACCCCAGCCCTTCTCAACAGCACCCGAGCTTAGGGAAGTGGAGCTCCCGTGAGCCCTGTGAACTGTCAGCAGCTCGTGGCGTGAGAACCCACTTTCCAAGTCAGGGTTTGTCTCTTTCCTCAGCCGGAAGAGCAAGTGTGGAGTGGGGGAGCCCTGTTGTTTGGAGCACAGCAGCTGAGCTCTTACCTCAGTGGCCACACAGGGAGGTAGCAGTTCTTATTTAGGCCCCTGCCTTTTCTCCCCCTCCTGTGCAGGTACCTGGAGGTTATGCGCAAACTCCAGAAGACTTACAGGATGGAGCCGGCTGGCAGCCAGGGTGTGTGGGGCCTGGATGACTTCCAGTTCCTGCCCTTCATCTGGGGCAGTTCGCAGCTGATAGGTACTGGGGGGCTGCCAACCCCCAACCTGCGACCTGCACCCCTCCCCCTTCCCTTCCTGCCCGGGACAGGTGGGAGCAGCTTGTAAGCAGGTGTTAGAGTGGCTGCCCATGGAGACTGCTGGCTGTCGACCTTCTGCTGCGACCCTGAGTGGCAAACTGGGGATGGTGGGAGCCTAGTGCCGCTGAGACGATGGGAGGTGACATGGGCTGGAGCAAGGGCCACGCCTGGTGCATGATGGACTGGTGCATAGCACGTCTGGTCCTGGTAGCAGCTGCGGGGTTTTGTGTGGAGAATGAGGGGCCCTTTGCTTTGGTGACCAGCGTCATCCACTGTTCTGTGGAGCTGTGTCCAGGGGGCCGTCAGGGAGCTGCTGCCAAGTGCTGTGCCTGGGCCTGCTTGGGACACCCCTGCGCTGCAGCCCTTCTCCGGGTGCCCAGCTGCTCGGGGCCACTGGGTCAAGCGGGTGTTGTCTCTCTCGACATGGGACAAACTGCCCAGGCCAGGCCCTGCTGCTGCTGCCCAGGTAGATTACCCAGCTGCCATGGTTGCTCCGTGACCTTGTGAAGGGTCTTTGCCAGTCCTGAAGCCAGCGTGTTCGGCCCTGTCCACATGGTCCTCGATGTCCTGGAGCCTTGGAAGCTGACGTCCTTTGTCCCAGGCCCCACGCCTATAGGGAGGCTGAGTGGAAGCTTGTATAGAGCAGTCACTCGGTGCGCCCTCCTGACAATAGAGACTGCACACGAGGTGTCCTAGGCTGTTTGGGTGCCATACTGTCGTTTGGCAGTAGCTTTTAAAAATAAGCATATTCTCTAAACAGTGAAGAGATAGTGTAGTAAGTAAATACACTAAAAACAGGTGTTCCTTACCACTATTGAGTATTACACTCAGTGCTCAATTGTACGTCTCTGGTTTTCTACGACTGGCTTGCAGTGGCTTTGTTTACTCTGGCCTCACCACACAGCTGTGGGGAACAAGGCCCCGCTTTGGCATCATGGTGGCCGGGTAACTAGGTGAGAGGACTTTTGCAGCTTTGTGACTATCGTCTTTTTCACTGCTGTCCGTTGAATGCAGGGTCCCATGACCACTGAGCGTGCGCTCTGTCACTGAGCCCTGCCAAAGCCCTCCATTACAGTCTTGTGGGCCCACCGCTGTGTGCGTGTGTGCGTGCGTGTGTGCGTGTATGTGTGTATGTGTGTGTGGTCCCTCACGGACCAGAACGACCACATGCATTTGGCTGCACTCAGGGCGAGGTCCTGTGTTAGCCCTGCAAGGTGAGGTGTGAGGACACCCGGTGAGGCTGTGGCCCTCGGGTGGTGTCCGTATGCCAGGCTGAGTGCCCAAGGGGTGTGAGGGCCTGGTTCTGAACCCCAGGCTCTTGTTCCTCCCAGACCACCCATTTCTGGAGCCCAGGCACTTTGTGGACGAGAAGGCCGTGAACGAGAACCACAAGGACTACATGTTCCTGGAGTGTATCCTGTTCATTACTGAGGTGAGGCTGGTGGCTTAGAGCAGCCGAAGGTGATGCCCAGTGGTGGCACGGCTGGCCCCAGAGGTGGCTATTGAGAAGGACCCCCCCACCCCCATCCCCGCCAGGAAAAAGAGAAAAAGAAGCCCCACTCGGCTCTTGGGAAAGGTTTGCTAGCCTTGGCTGGGATGTCCTTGTCTGCACAGGGCGGCTGAGGGCCTAAGACTTGAACCTTTCATCAAGATTGCCCTGAAGGGCTGGGGATTTAGCTCAGTGGCACCATACCTGCCTCGTAAGCGCAAGGTCCTGAGTTTGATCCCTAGTACCAAAAAAAAAAAAAAA